CTTTTTGAAGAACCGCACAGCCCTCAGGTACTTTCCGCTGAAAGAAAGTACCCCAAACTTGGGTAATAAAACCATCGATGGCACCTCTGCCACATAGAGTCTCATCTTTTCTCGGCGTACGCCCGAAACTGCGTAAAAAGAGTCTGAGCGCCTGCTGAAAGAGATTGTTTGACGAGCGCTTGCAGAAAATTTTGTATTGATGCCCGCTTGCAGAAAACGCAAATACCGCCCGCTGAAGATTTGGCCACGCCCCGAAATCCTGCTGACCGCCTGCAGAAAAGCGCGAGTTTGCGGACCGCCTGCCCCCGGCGATTATCTGAGACGTGGTATATACCCGGACGCGGGGCTCGGAAGGTTAGTATCAAATGTGCGCCCATTAGCTGCGACGCGTTATTGTGAAGCAAGTTATGGCCCTCTGAAGTTTTTGGCGTGTGCATGTCTAGAGAACGCACAAATGATGCGATTGTGGTCGTGTGGTGTAGTGGTTAGCGTCTCGGACTCACAGGTGACCGGTGAGGGTTCGAATCCTGTTGCTGTCCACATGTTTTGCGTTCTTCTCAAAATTCATTTTTTTACCTGTTTTATGTATTAATGAGGTGAAAAATGACACACACGGGTTACGGGATGATTTTTCTCACGAAAATTCGACCAATGCTTCATATGTAAAATTTTCATAAAACATAGCAGCGACTTTTTAGCGACGGCTTTTCAGTTGACTTTGAAGATTTGCCAAATCCTCACTCCCCATACCATCTTCGATTGCACGTAGTATTTACATGACAATCCCAAGTTGTATTACGTCGTACTATTGATTTTTGCTAATGGGCTACCTTGTGAGAATGACACGGCAGGATGTATAATTAGTAGTGTTTAACCACTCGTATGTGTCATTTTTTACCTCAGTATTGCATAAAACAGGTAAAAAAAATGAATTTTGAGAAGAACGCAAAACATGTGGACAGCAACAGGATTCGAACCTTCACCGGTCACCTGTGAGTCCGAGACGCTAACCACTACACCACACGACCACAATCTGAGCATTTGTGCGTTCTCTAGACATGCACACGCCAAAAACTTCAGAGGGCCATAACTTGCTTCACAATAACGCGTCGCAGCTAATGGGCGCACATTTGTTACTAACCTTCCGAGCCCCGCGTCCGGGTATATACCACGTATCAATCGGCCATTTCGATTCGGCGAACTTCCCTTGTTAGAATAGTAGGAATTTGATGAATTGCGCTTCTATGACAAAAGCGGCCAGCGGCAGCTACGGGCTGCTGGCGGCTGCTGTGGGCTGCTACGGGCTGCCAGAGGCTTCTACCTGCTCTGACGGCTGCTGTGGGTGCTAAGGGCTGCTAAGGGCGGCTAGCGGCGGCTAGCGGCGGCTGCCGGCGCGGTATGAAGGCATACACACGAAAATTTAGGTGTCAGCGGTTGCAGCGTCGAGCACAAATCAGCTTATCAAAGCTAATATTATGAACAGCCCAAAAATCATTTGGTGAGCACCTTCGCCACGCTCTTTCATGTGATGCTGACGGTTTTCTTTTTTTATCACTTTCTTGAGAAGTCTGGAAAAGGTGCTGTATGATTCAGCTATGAACCGCCATTTGGTGGTAGAAGTCGCAGTCGCCTTTTGACATATTAGGTTGTCCCGAAAGTTTTGCCGGTTTTTTTCATCGCTCACTATAAATAGAACATCAGTTCATGGACAACTTAGGTACCGTTTGACTCAGATTTTCATGCTCTTTCTTATAGCTATATTTGCTCTCTAATCTACCCTGTCTTTGCAATGTTATCGCCATGGCTTTTTGAGCACATCAGCAGTAACGCCAAATCTTCTCTAGATTTTAAAAATTTTTATACTGTTATTCTAAAAGAGCGCTGGTAACTGTTGAGTAGAGCAAACCTTTGGCTACAACTCTCCCGTTTTAGATTAAGTGGGCCACGTTTATCAAGTCCGTAATAATTATTTATTTAAGAAAAACCGCGGCTTTTTGATTACGTTTACCATGTAAGATTACCGGAAATTCCAAAAAGCGGTTTTTTGAAGCAAATTAAACTCTCATGATGCATAAATGATGTTTAATAACAAACGAGTTTTAATTCGCGAAAACCTTGAAAGCTTTCATGTTTTGCTGCAGTTGCATGTTTCATTACTTTGCCAAAAATCGAGACTTTCGAAGAAATAATTTTTTAAAGGTAAAAACAGCAGGTTAGGAGAATCTAAAAATATTGTCATATAGTCCGAAAATGGCTTTATTTAAGCCGTACTTAAACTTCTTAAACCCTGGGACGAAATTTTCAAAAATCAGCCGAACTTTGAGCAGATAAAAATGACGGGTGAAGCATTTTAGCAATTGTCAGAAAAAGCATACAGGATTTTGGTTTGAAATGTCAACACAAGAAAGAGAAGGAAAATCTGCATCGAATGCATGTTGAAGCTCATTCAGATCTTCATTATGCGTGGTTTTATATTGGTTTGAAAAAACCGACAAAACTTTCGGGACAACCTAATATGATAGGTATCATCTGAAGACGCTGATTCTAAAACAGCTTTCCTTAGCTGCAGAACGAAGCTGGGTCGGGAGTTATTGAATTTGATTCGCGCGGATTTTACAACGCTGAGAGTAACCAAAACTATCAAAGCCCGTGTAATTTGGGCTTAGCTTGCATGAAACAGTTTGTCAATGCTTGAAGGCAGTGTCCAGGCAACAAGTCGATTTTGAGATTTTATGCTTACCTAGGCCTATTCGTTATGCTGAATCCAAAAACCCACACCAGAGCATAAAAACGGCGAAAAAGGGCTCTAACGGAGGATGGAAATCGCAGGTGGGCGTGGCCCTTCACACTGTGACGTCACTCTCCCAGTTTCAGGAGCGATCTTCTTGCTTCCGCTAGCAGCCCTAACATCGCCGCTAGCCAACTGCGAAAATCTTGACATAAAATCGGAACCGAGAAGATCGCTCCCAAAGCTGGGATAATGAAGTCACGATTTGAACAGCCCCTCCCACCGGCGATCTCCCGCCTTTGTTAGAGCCCTTTTTCGCCATTTTCGCGCACTCCAGTGTTGATTTTCGGAACGGTGGTGGGTCGGCAAAATGGACCCTTGTCAGATTTTAGTAGTATTAGGTAAAAGACCTCCCTGAATAGCTCCAAAACTCCACCAATGACACCCACTCAATGGAAGTGAACGGGGCTGGTGGAGTTTTGAAGCTCCTTTACAGGACCCAGCGCATGAACTGGAGAGTGCGGTTGGGGCTACCGTGAACTTGGGGGTCTACTACCTAACACTAACAAAATCTTATAGGGCCGATTTTGCCGATCCACTGCCTTTAAAGGCAGTGTCTCACCAAATTGAGGTCGCGCGGATCTTCACATCTTATATATAAAGCTGAATGTCTGTCTATATGTATGTCTGTATGTCTGTCTGTACGTATGTGCGGAATAGAAATTTTTATTTCTGAACCGATTTGGACCAAACTTGGCACACATATACTTCGGGGCAGGGAGCGTGTCATAGGGGGAGTTGGCACAGGGGGGGGGGGGGTAATCGAGCATGCTGATTACAAATATGTTATTGACAGGGCCGGGCGAAGCCGGGTTTGCCAACTAGTATTCTATTATAGAGACTTCTATAGGCCATTGCAACAAGTCCCACCAGGGCTCGGCACGACCTGGCACCAGCGAAATTTCAAAACGAAATCTCGTTTGATCTTGAAAATTTCGTACGAAGTCCCCTTTGACCTGTTTTGAAGATCCTTCATTATTTTTAGATTATGTAAAAGCATGTAGTAGGTTTTTCATGCATGCTGATTTCATGGAACAACTTTTCACGCTTCCTGAACTTTTTGATTGGTTGAGTCAAATGTTGAGAAGCAGAAAAAGCCGGTTTTCCGACTGCGGAGCAGATCGTGCAATTTTCAGATGGCTATAAAACGTGAAAAGAAAACATTATGAAATTGTTTCTTCTCTGTATCTGAACTTTTACGGTGTAGATACGTTTTATGCAAAAAGTATAACTTATGTGAGCAAAGTGTCGGTGCCGGCAGCTGGCACCCCGCTGGCACGGTGCCAGCTAATTCAGAAAAAAGTTCAGCACAGCTTTCATTCACATAAGTTTTCATAAATTTTTGGGCCATAGTTCGGGTCCCCCAACGCGCATGCACACACCAAATTTGGTTTCATACTATTGCGTTATGGCTGAAACAACGCCTTTATTTGCTTGATGGACAGCATGCCGGTGGCATGTCGACAGCATTCTTGCGGCTCTTCTCCGCCCCGGACCCCGGAAAAACAATATCCCCTTCGCTTTCGCCCTAAAAACGATATTTAGCTTGACCCGGTGCCAGCTGTACCGAGCCCTGAGTCCCACTCAATTTGACCCCCTCCACGCTGAGAAAAATTCGCTCAAAGTGGTACGCGGAAAGCGATTTGGTACGCGCAGACGACTCCTTCGGTCTCCCCTCTTACGCGTTTGAACATGTCCCTCCACTTGGCATCCACCTCCCTTCTTTGCTGCCACTGTGGCTGAGCCTGAAGTTGGAAGGTACAACTCGTCCACGTTGTTTCCGCGGGGCCTCCAGAAAACGGGGTTTTTTAAGCCCATACAGTGCTAGACAGGGTCCGACAGGCTTGCAAGCAAAAATCTCGGCAACTAAATCTTGGTGAGACTCTGCCTTTAATGTAATTCTACTCCTTCTCCAGTGTTATGCTGTAGTGCTTAAAAAGCCTTCGAGCGATTTTAATGATCACAGGGTACACGAGATAATTAAAATTCTGTGGTCAAAATGCCCATGACTCCCGACCCAGACTAGTTCTGCAGCTAAGAAAAGCTGATCTAGAATCAGCGTTTCAAGCTACTTCAGATGATACCTATCTCATGTCAAAAACCACTGCAACTTCGACACTTTCCCCATATGACCGTCCTAGCGCCAATTGGGAGCCGATGATAGGTTTTGCGCCTTCGTCCCGCGGTAACCTCTTTGTATGAAGCGAAGTACCTGAGCATTCAGAAGTACGAATTCTTGTAGAAATCTCTTTATTTGTTGATCCTTATTTTCCATGTAGAAGCGAACCAATACTTCCACCAGACATTCTTCAACCAAAGATTTTTCCCTGCAATGAATTTTTGTAAACTCTCTGCCCACATGCAGTGTGAGAGAGATACCTTTCTATCCTAAGTACTAGTTTGTCAACATAAGCAGACTGACGAAGAAGAGTTACTCGGGACCGTTGCAGATAAAACAAGTACGACGACCTTTTTCTACATTCCTCTTTCATTGTCCGCAATAGTTGGCGTATTCTGTGTCAACTTTTTCAACTGGATGTCGTAAATTACGATGAAGCACTCATCATGTCGATAACCTTATGCTTTGATATTGTGTATGTAACGACAGCGACGCGCCCACTCTTTGATTGCTAATATAGACGTCATCCGCGGGATCTAGTCTACAGTCTGCCCCAATTCCAACCAGGCCAAAATTGGCATGGCGGGAGTCCGCGTCGCGATTGTATTGCGTCACGTCTACGGCTAGCCAGTCTGCTCTCTCCTCAATCTCTTCGCTCTCTGCGACAGCGCGCGTACGCATCGCAAACCCCTGGCACTGCGAACGCGCAAATTTAGCCGGCGGTTCGACCTGATCCTGATTGGGGCAGACTACAGTCACCTCGCCTAGGTGCGATATGTGTTAGTGCGTACAAATTTGAAATCCCGGAGAGTTGCTGGGGTCCCGCCGTGCCATACCTATACCAAGTGCGCAGTACGGCAAAAACTGGACGCCAAACTGCTTCTTTTTCGTCTTTTATGTTTCGTTCTTCTTAGCTACACAAACGGTCTAGGTTTTGATGATTTGTCACCATTACACGTCGTTCATGCTGTTTTAGAACGAATATCTTGAAGTTTGTCACTTCTGTTTTCAGGTAAGGAAGGCAGATCGGCAATCTTGCAGGATTTTGAAGCAGGTTCTGCTTTCTTCAGGATTGAGTATTGTCGTATCTAGAAATAGTACAGTATCTTTTAGGCACTACAAGTTTCAACTTCCTTCTCACTGATATCGAATGGTTTTTTATGCCGACTTCTTATTGGAAAGCTTTTGCTAAGTCGATAGCGGGATTGCTTAAGCACAAACTCGTACAGCCTAAGAGATATTCTACTCTTTCCACATACGACAGTAGTGAAGCTAGCAGACTTACTTCAAAATTTCGCAAGATTGCTTATCTCTTGCCTTACGTGAAAGTAAAAGCGATAAATTGTTGAGGTATCCGTTCTAAGCCTGCACGAAGTATGAAGGTGACAATCATTAGAACTTAGACCGTTTATAAGCTAAGAAGAAAAAAAAACATGAAAGTATGAGAAAAAGGCAGTTTGGCGTTGAATTTTAGCCGTACTGCGCACTTGATGTGAGCGGCACGGCGGGACCCTAACGAATACACTGTGTGAAAAGCCCCAAAGCTAATAAAAAAGTACTAGCACAAGCTTTGAAATCAGCCTAGTTTCCCAAAATTGTGTGCTGATTTGTTTTGAGCACTGAAGTTAGAACTACGAACTCAAAATCGGTAGTTGGCTCACCTAATCACGTTAATTACTCTACCTTTACAAACACAAATACGGTACGAATTAGGAAAAGAAACGAAAAGAAAGTCGAACAACGAGAGTCGAAAAAACAGGATGGTTCCAGAAATAGACGAAGAATGACCGACATATATCCAAAAACTGCTCACAGCCTCAATTGACCCACCTCTCCTCATCAGTGAAAAAATCATGAAAAATAACAAGAATTCATGAACATTCGACTTCTTGCGCTTCAATTCGCATCGAAAGTGTGCGCGACTCGAAAGCGTCGAAACCGCGGAGCCTATCGCCCAAAAATGTGGAGTCTCCGCGCTCTACGCTTAGGGCATTACATGGCAGTGAAACAGGATAAAACTGGCTCAATTTCCATCTATTACAATTGGAGCAACTGAATCCACTCATGAAAGTGAAAGAAAAGACATGACGATAAAAAAATCAAAACGTACCCTTTATTGTCGAAGATCTGCAAACAACGCATGACCTCTCTTGTGTGCGCAACAAGAGCCTGTTCCCTGCCGTTTATAGCTTCAGCCAAAAGAGTACGCAATAGAAGCACCAGTTGTTCCCGTTCGTTCTCTAGCCTGATACCTCTAAATGAAGTCTGCTGAACTTCGGAGAAAAAAACAAGAAAATCAATGGAGCAAACCTGCAAGTTTCATCAAACGGCACGTTCGGAGCATTACCCACACTACTCAGTACGAGACGCAGCTTCCTCTTGGCGTCAAGGAAAGCTCTATAATTTGAGCGCGTTTAGCAAAAGCAAAATTGAATCTGTTGGTGTTGAAACAATGAGAATCATATAGCAATCATGGAAGCCAATCATAAGCAAACCACGAGCTGTTCTCTGCATATATCGTCAATCCTCGCTATATGAAAATTATATAGTCTTTTCAATCAGGAGTACGCCAAAATTGTGGAGGCCGTTCGCCAAGCAGCATCAAAGGCAGTGTCGCGGCAGATATCGCTCTCCAGCCTTTCATCTTTCGGAGTCTTCTTGTCATGCCGAACCCATATCTCGGCTTTGCAGCGCATAAAATGGCAAAAATGAGCTTCTTTCAAAACCCTTCGTATCCGCAGTTGCCGGAGAATACGTGCAAGTAGGTGGAATCTGGAATGAAGGGGCCGGGTCCGAAAGATTCGAAGTGGATTTTAGGCTTTCCAGATACGCTTTTCCGTTTCGGACCAATCAGTTAGGAGGTCATTGCAACAATGGAATATCCCAATACCCATCACTTTGCTGGGGCTTGCTTTTGAAGGCAGTGTCCAGCCAGATTCGGGCTAGCCTTTAAAGGCAGTGTCCTGCCAGATTTGGGACATCCCAGTCTCAATAAATTTCTAAGGGTTGTTTCATACTGCCGCACTGACTGCAGCCGACTGCACTGACTGCAGCTGACCGCACTGTCCGCAACGACTCGTTGCATCCTTTCGTAAAAGAAAAAACAATTATGATTGCGTCAAAACAACATGATTTACGCCTAGGAAGTCCACAGGTGCTAACTTACTCTTCTCAATCAAATTTTGGCGATTGTTTTTTTGGTATGCTCATTTTTGTTCTGTTCCTCCTGTTATTGCATATATCTGTTTCACTCTCGCTGTTGTCTTTTGGATCTAGGCATATAATGTCGTTGATTGTTTGGGCCACAACTATTTATCCTCTCCACATTTACGAAAGAATGCAGCGATTTGTGTGGCACTTGCGGTCAGTGCGGTCAGCTGCAGTCTGCTGCAGTCAGCTGCGGTCTGCAGCAGTCTGCTGCGGTCAGTGCGGCAGTCTGAAACAACCCTAAAGCGGGCTCCCATGCAGACCATAGCCCGGTTGCGACTGCAAAATATTGCTTCTGAAGCAAAACGCCCCTTAATTCACCCTCGTCCTTACGCAAGTAGTGGCGGGACACATAGCTGCAGCATGACAGCCTCGCAACTGCCGTGTCCCAACACGACTTCCTGCTTCGGTAAGGAGAGTCGAGGGGCGTCTCCGTTTATGAAGCTGTATATCACTTCGAAAGAATATTTTGCGGTCGCGACCGGGCTATAGCCTGCATGGAAGCCCGCTTTGGTAAGCTGTTGGAAGTGAGATGCTCCCAAATCCTTAGAGAGTGACATTAAATTTGTTATTTTTGTATTGTTGTTGTCTAGTGATCTGATCTATCAGTGTTGTATTGACCTATGCAAGGCGCCCCTGCTATCTAAGTCATTCGTCTCGTCTTATCGTCTGTTCCTATTCATATCCGGTCTACTAATAAATCTACTATTATAAAAGTGTCCCGGACCCACTACAAGTACAAGTAGAAGGCTACAACAAGTGGCGATCAGGTTAGTCGATGAAGCGGACGAAATGAAGGGGGAGCTTTTGAAATGTCTACTTTCCATTATGGGATTGCAGTCGTCGTGCGATGCGCCGATACGTGCCCGACTTTTGAGAATTCTGGACACCGAGACCGACACCTATAGTCGTCCTCACTCCTTTTTGGTTTTTTTAACCTGTTGCTTGTTAATTTATGTACTATTCCAATAATTCTAGTCAAATTTGCGTTTTGTTGTTGATGAGCGTTGTTTCGCGCAGTTAAGCTCGGTTTTTGTTTAGGTGATTTCATTTAAGCTTCTAGAAACGATGCAGATGGAAAATTTTTGTGACATTGATCACTAAAACAACACTTCTGCACGTGTCAGTTATAAAAGAAAAAGATCTGCAGCAGAGGTTTCCCATCTGTATTGTTTCTGTGATAAGCATCGAGCATAGCAGTACAAAACAATGCTCGACAACAACAAAATAGTATTTTGAAAACGAACATACTTATAACACGAAGATTAACAAACAACTACAGTAAAAGAATCATAAAGGAATCCATCCACTGACCGACTAGTGGGGTGAGGACGACTATACAGGCTGCAGGACTTAGTTGCAGACTACAAGGCATATCAATCCGTGCAGAAAGATGCAGCCCTTACTGGATTTGCATCGGCGCCCATCCAAACTGAAGTCATCGCTCCTATCCGGAAGAAGAAGCAACGTCGACCACAGTCGCAACATACCAGATTCCTATCTGATAGCAAGGAAAATGGACGTTTCCACCGTGAAGACGTGTGCTACAACTGTAGAAACAAGGGACACTGGGCCAACAACTGCCGGTCAAGGAACCGACCAATCCGTCGTTCCACGAAGAAAGTTGTGAAGCTGAACGTGCTGAACTCCCATCGTCGATAAGTAAATGTCATGCTGAAGGGCGTGGATGTGAACTCAGATAATCGCCGAGGGCAGGCGGTTTGGGAGAATTTTGGCGAAATTTCAGATGCATGCTCAAAAGAACAATTGCGGCTTTTTCATAGATTAGTTGCGGCGCAGTGGCCGCATTCTCGCGGACTTTCCGCTGAAAATATGCAATAAAAATAATAATTGCAATAAAATAATATTTGCAATAAAATATGCAAATTATTGAGTGCCGCACGGTCCTTGGTGGAGGACCGCGCAGCCCGCAGGTACCTTCTGCTGAGAGAAAGTACCCCAAACTCGGGTAATTGAACAATCGATGACACCTCTGCTACACAGAGTCTCACCTTTGCTCGGCGTACGCACGAAACTGCCTAAAAAGAGTCCGAGCGCTTGCTGAAAAAAATTATTTGCCAAGCGCTTGCAGAAAATGCTGTATTGCTGCCCGCTGGCAAAATATGCGACCGTAAAGGAAGTGCCGCCCGCTGAAGGTTTGGCCGGCCACCCCAAAATTCTGCTGACCGCTTGCAGAAAAGCACGAGTTTGCGGACCGCCTGCCCCCGACGATTACTTGAGTGGCCAACCCAAACAAGCTGTCTACCATTCAACCATCCAACGCTGATTTGGAATCTGTATTCCATATCTGCTTAGCGCCTTTGTGGACAAGGTTATGATCAGTTTTACTTTACGAACATAAAGTAACCTAGCTGCATGTTTTGGCCCAGCACTGAGTTGAACATAGTTCTGCACCGCCAAATTTGCACTTTTATGCATGATTTCTTGAGAAATTAATGACTTTTGACGGCTCACGACTTCGCCCACATAGGCGCTAAACAGGTAAGAAATACAGATTCGAAGTCAGCGTCTACTGCAGTAGCTTGTTTGGATAGGCCACATCAATTTCTGACCAATCCCTTGTAAGCTCTAGTCGCTGTGGGACACAAGCTCACGAGATGTTTAGTCGAAGTGGCCTTATTAGATGGGATGTATGCCGTATTGGAGAGCATAAATCGCTGATTCCAAATCTGCCTTCCTTATCCGCGGAACGTTTATGGACGGGGAGTTATGAGCTTTTATTGGAGCAAAAAATTACAGTGCAAATAGGACAAAAACTGTCGTGATATTATTTTTAGTGCTTCAATGTAGCAGTAATAATTAACAAAGCAACTTACTCATTGGATACTCTCAGTTAAAAAAATATATCACACTTGGTTGCTTTATTTAACGGCTAGGAAGATTTTAGCAGCTCTTTTTGCGCTAAATTCACGTTAATTTTTTGCTCTAATAAACGTAACCGTCCACGAACGTTCTGAAAATAAAGAAAGCAGATTCGAAATCAGCTTATGCTATTTAATAGTACAAATCTCATCCAAAAAGGCCACTTCGACTAAACATGGTTCCCTTGTCAGAGAATACGTCGCAGACAAGACCCAGGGTAAGCGAGGCGACCGCGCGGGTCCGAAGCCAAAGGAGCACTATCATTGAGCAGAGAGTTGTGTGTGCCGAATTCATGCTCTATACGATTCATAATGAAAGTTAAAGTCATTATGTTATTTGAACCAATCAGCAACCATATGATGGCGCAGACCAGATGCCACAGGTGTCAAAAGCGACGCCCGAACTCATTCAGTAATATCGACCATAACCAGCTTCTTCAATCAGTCTTCTAGCTGAATAATGTTAGAAATCACCACTAAGTTACTCTTACAAGTTCTCTCTGTGCGAACAAAACATGATGAATTCAATCGCTGTTCTGGTAGACGGCAGGAAAGCTCGATATTCCGGATAATTACATTAGAACGGAGAAGGGGATAGCTATTTTCGAGCGGTTATCATTCACCACCAAACTTCGTGTTGACCTGCCCTTGTGCATTAATGGCTTCTCAGCAAAAATGGCCAACAGTGTAGATGATAATTTCGTGGATGGCGAAACGGGGAATCGTAAAGCACACGTACACGATTCATAGGCACCCGCCATACTTGATCCGCTTAATCCACTTGATCCGCTTGATTCGCTTCGTCATTGGTCGATTTAGTGAATAGAGCAATAGCGAAGCGCTTGTCCGCTTGATCCGCTTGATCCATTTCATCCACTTCACTCTTGGTCAGTTCACTGTATTGACTAATGATGAAGAGGATCAAGCGGATCAAGTGGATTAAGCGGATCAAGTATGGCGGGTGCCATAGCATGCAAAGACTGCGGACGTACCGGCGTCTCTCTAATCGAGCGCTCTTTCGTTTCTCTTACCAAATGATGTCTCTCCCACACACGAATTATCTTGGCCAGACGCAACGACGCCCAGTCTTTGCGTGTCATGAATGTATACACGACAAGGAATACGGTTTGACAATAACTTACCTACATTCCGTTAGATTTTCGGAAGAATAGTATGCAAGCACTTGCTCGGACGGCGCACTTTCGGAGGCTGATGAAGTGACCTCAGTTGATGTCGGAGCATCATTAGTGAATGTAGACGCCGCTGGTTGATACTTTGCAAGAATGTCATCAGCTGATGGCTGGTGAAGATCTAAACAAGATCTGAATCAAAGGTGTGCGATCAGGTTGAACAGAGCAGAACATACCAGATATATGACATATGGTTTGACTATTCGGGATACCAAGGCTGCCTTGCTCATTCTCTCGTCGTGATGTATTCCATTCGCTGAGAAGATCAGAGATAGTCGACGAATGCGGTAATTGACGAAATGATGGACCGGTCATGCCTGCTATGATGAGAAGGTAATCGAGTAACGTACCAAAGCGATAGATGTGAATGACTTTTGCTAGCTGGTTTTAGCACATCTCCAATAAAGTTTCGGTCAGAAAAGTCTGAGCTACAACCCCCTCAAAGTCATAGTGGTACGCATATGTGCTCTGCATAAGATTGAACCAATCCAGCGTAGCCCAAGAAAAACATTCAATGCTTAAAGGGTGATAAAAGAATAGTTTGAATGGCGATTTCGGATCCCGTACATTTAAGATAATATTCTTTGGAAAAACTGGAGAAAATTGCCCGCTCATTTTTTTCACCGCGCCCTTCAACAAACTTAAAGGCAGTGTCCAAGCAAAAAGTCGATTTTGAGATTTTGTGCTTACTCGGGCCTATTCGCCATGCTGAATCCGAAAATCACCACTGGAGAGCGCGAAAACAACAAAAAAGGCTCTAACGGGGGAGGGAAATCGTAGGTGAGCGGGGCCGTTCACACCGCGACGTCACTCTCCCAGGCTTTAGGAGCGATCTTCTCGGTTCCGATTTTATGTCATGCGTTTCGCGGTTGGGTGGTGGTGATGTTAGTGCGGTTAGCGGAAGCGAGAAGATCGCTTCTAAAGCTGGGAAAGTGACGCCACTATGTGAACAGCCCCGCCCACCTGCAATTTTCCCCCTCCGTTAGAGCCTTTTTTCGCCGTTTTCGCGCTCTCCAGTGGCGATTTTCGAATTCAGCATAGCGAATAGGCCCAGGTAAGCACATAATCTCGAAATCGACTTTTTGCTTGGACGCTGCCTTTAAGGAATCAAAGTTATATACCAAACACTCGGGAAATTCGGTTTTTTGGATAGAATTGCGTACCTTTTCGCATTTTGTCCCCAACCTTTTGCAAACCCTGCTGCAAGAAAGAAAACTTTTTTCGATGAGCACTGGAAGACGAGGATGATCCGCCATAAAATGGTTCCGCGTCGGGGGCGTTTGCCGCCCCTGAAGAACGCTTGGGATAGCTGAAAGCAGATGCTCGAATGCTGGAAGGTCCAGAACGTTCCGCGGCCAGTTGTTTGGGCTTCTGGAATACCTTATCAAAAATAAGGAAATTACAATCACTCTCACTCTCAAACGACAAGCTACTTTTTTCAGAACAGAAAAAATAGTATAAAGGGATGACACATGAACGCTTTTACTGATTTTCGAGGACTATAGAGGAGGCAAAAAATATTGAGGAAAGAAGTATGAACAGAAAGCACTCGTTTTCTGACACGTCTTCGCAAGAGGCGGGCTCAGCGCCATAGAGTTACCAAATCCGTAGAAGCCTGAGCAACGCACTGAGGGTCATACTTTGTATCACTTGCCTCGAATCCTTCTCAAATAAAAACATTTATTGCGTCATCGAATATCCTATCTTGCATAAGCCTTCGCCTTTTCTATCAAGATTGACATTTATGAAAAACTCAAAAATTCCTACTTTATTCAACACTAGATGGCTTACCCGGCTCCGCCCGGCCCTGTCATTATTTTATTCGTAATCAGCATGCTCGATTACCCCCCTGTACCAACTCCCAGCCCCGTAGCTCAAATTTTGCAAAAAAAAATCGATAAAATCGATATCGATCGATGACGAAAAGTAGCCTATGACACCCGCAGGGGCCCGAAGTGTATGTGTGCCAAGTTTGGTCCGGATCGGTTCAGAAATGGAATTTTCTATTCGGAACATACGTACACACAGACATACAGACAGACATACAGACAGACAAACAGACAATCAGCTTTATATATAAGATTAAAGACTCTAATATACTTGTGATGCTCACCGCTGAAATTGTCTGTAAGGAATCATTCTATAGAAGCACCACGAAGGCGACTGCCTTATTCACGTCCATCTCATTTAACGCCATTGACAAGCATTCTCACAATTTGTATTCGAATGAAGTTTGACGATTCGCTCACAGGCTACTGTTTTCTTTTTTGACTGGTACCAAAGCTGGCAAGAAAGCAAAGTTAAGGGATTTTGTTGCGAAACCAATTAATGTACAACCTTAGGAAAATACATGAATATTTATTTTAAAAACTGCCTTGGGCCACCAATAGCTCATGCTAGTGGTCCAAGGCACTTTTTGGACAAAAGGTCTTTTTTTTTCGAGATTTGCAAAAATATGCCTGGTTTTGTGTTGTAAAACTAGTACTTTAGGCAAACATGACATCAGAGATTTGGTGTAAAGCGAGGCACAAGCCACCAAAGTTCGCATAGCCTATACACTGTCTAGATGTGATAGCTAGCTGTGTTTTTTTTTGACAACTAGGTCCCAAGCGTGCCACTAGTTCCAGCATCGTTATCCTTACCGTATATCTTATACTTAAATTCTTATACGTATGCACCCAACAATTTGCTTTCGCGAGTTTGGAGCAATTTGAATGATGTGCGTGAGTACAAAAGACACACAACTTTCTATTCGAAAAAGCAGACAGTAATATAGACAAGATCAAGTTCTCACCGAGCTACTAGGAGCTTCACTTAATTCGTTCGTAGTTTTTCGATCCTCCCTGAATAACAAAGCATCAAGCTACTGTAATCTGACCGCTGGATCGAGCAAACTCACTTGCTTACTTCCGAGTCTGCTTCACTACGACCGCAAGAGAACGAGCTGCCACTACTCTGGCGTCGTAATTCTTCACTTGTGCCGTTACTATGGTGAACATCGACGAGTGGTTCGACGTTAACACAGGGTACTATCTGATGTGTGATACGGTACGTATACATCTATCAGTTCAGCAAATAATGCATCATCATAAGTTTATGCCGGTGTTCCCCACATCTGCAATCACCGTAGAAAATTCAAAGTCAGGCACCTGATGTAGTCGGTCATGACCACCGTCGGCCTCAGAGTCACTAGCTATGGCATCAAGCGACCATGTGTCACTTCGATCCTCCGTTGCTGTTCCCGCGCCACAGAGTGATCCCGTCCTGCAAACAATAAAAAAGTTTAGGCCAACATTGCGCGGTCCTATTCGCTCCATCAAAGGACCCAGTGACAACTTATCACACATAGAAGACTACGATTGAGGAAAGTGGGTTAGATGGCAAACTGCAGTAAAAGAAGAGGTTGAAGATGTTGGAATTTCTGCTTGATAATGCTGGGCAGCAACAAAATCACGTAGGAAAGGTAATGTGAGAAACTTGCCGATTGACAGCTCGTCCTCGTTGCGCACCTAGTTCCGCGACCTCAGCATTCGGAAGATGTGGCAAAGACGGTCCCTCATCATCGGAAGGAACGACATTCGTAGACCAACTATCAGATAGTAACGATCGTTGGTCGTCTCCTAGAGGAAAACTTTACCACAGTTACCCCGATTAATTTTGAGCTATTCAACAACAAAAGGAATACGGGACATCAAGGTTGATGTAGGGAAAAAGACGAAACCCTGTGGTGGCAACCGAAATCCAAGAACATCAAAGTATGACTTTACTTACTTCTACTCTGCTGCGATGTAGGCACAGTGAACTTTCCAAACTTCTCTTCCAGGCCCTCAGCATTTTGTTTGCGTACAGCCACTGGAACGGTCGGGAGTACTCGATGACTGGTATCAATTTCGGAACCCGCAGCAGTGGACGTTGCGCCTGCGTCACCAATATCTGAAATATGCGTCGGGATGATATTATAAAAACTCTGTGACTCTATTCACCGTTTTCATGACCATCCCGCAGCCCTTGGCTGGGCGCTTGGCTGAATGGTGATTCGAGCCCGTCGAAGCTTGGAGAACCATGTATACTCAAGCCATTTTCATCGTCATCAGAAACGTTGTCCGGGATAGTCGAAGCTCCGTCTTCGTCGAGCAAGAGCATCCTTAGACAAGGAATGGAACATAAGGAGATAAGCTTGATTCCAGTAAGTTCCCATTTACTCCGATCCAGCTTTTCAAGATAGCTTGATTAGGGAACGGCCAGGTTGCCGGCGTTGCCGAGGTTGATGGAGTTGCCAAGGTTGCCGGCGTTGCCGGTCGTTGTAGGACCCCATGATGGCTTCCACTTCCGGTGCCTTTCTAAGGGAGGGCAAGCTTTAGGGACCGGCCATACTATTCCAGGAGGTGATTCCTGCGACTTCTGTAAATCCTGCATTTCCTGTGATTCATTGACTTTCGATTTGCTGCATTACGGAGCGCTTTGCGAATTTCAGTATACATTGTTTTTCGCAATATACGTTGTTACGGGGCCCACAGGAATCGCAGGAATTGCAGGAGTCACAGGATTAGTATGGCCGGTCCCTTAGGCGACAAGACGTGCAAAACGCAATTTCTAAGGCTGCGTTCATACTGATCCCGAAGTCCGGGAACAGTTCCAGCACAGCGCTTGAAATGAGCGCTGTGCTGAAACTGTTCCCGGATTTCGAAATCAGTCTGAACGCAGCCTAAGCTGTCTCTGACCCCGATAATGCCGGCAACCCCACCAACCTCGGCACCGCCGGCAACCTCAACAACCGTTGCCGGCAACCTATAGCCGTTCCCTTAGATTATGTTGAGTTATATATGTTGAGTTAGAGATTATGGAAGTGTCACGAAGTGGGGGAAGTTAAAATGTTCAAGAAATAAAGGATATTCGTCGACGACTGCCCCGACTCGTGCAATTACACCACCGTGGGCGCGCCTTTTGGGAGCCTTTCCAGCTTGACAGTACGCTGCAGCGCGCGGGGACTTGAGAGCTCGCAGCATCCTTGTCCTTTAACCTCTTTCGTCTGTTAGACATTTTACATCGTTTTTTTCTTATTTTTCGTTTCAGGCAGTTATACACTTTAATGACTATGTGAGTCCATCGCCGCGGGCAAAGTTAGAAGAAAGATGAGCTTTCTTCGTAGTTGCAGTGGTGGTTATCATGGCATGTTCAGAATTGCATGTTTTCTTCGATGTTTTACAATGATTTGACATGTTTCCTAGGGCAGACCATTGAAATGGTTGCTTCAGCACTCTTATAGCAGGGACACCACGTGGGAAATAAACATTCGAGTGATCTCATGTAAGGAGATGCATGATAACCACTATTACTCATGAACAAAGCACATGTTTCCTCCTAACTTTGCCCGGTGCGATGTTCACGACTTCGAAAATGAATGTTTCGTACGTAAAACAAGAGATTAATTCTGTGCCACTATAGGGCAACTCTAACTGGGAGATAACACAACACGTCGTTATGAACGTTTATTGTGACACTGAGGAAGCTTACAACAGAAGAGCCCCGTTGACCCCCGAACCCGCCCGCTTTACTGCGGGATGATTAATGTATAGGTCGGTTCGGCCACAATACGTAGCAAATGGCCGAACAAGCAAATGGCCGAACAAATTCAGGAAATGTCCCAAGGTAGTTTTTCCCTTACTTTTCAGTATTCAATGAAGTAGAACGCAGGATATTTGACCATCAAGAGAAACTAAAAGAAAGGGGAAACGAATTACTGCCTAAATATAAAAAGTAGGAAGAAAAAAACGATATGAAATGCTTAAATTAAGAAAAAGAGGTTAAAGGGCAGTGTTGCTGCGAGCTATTGAGTCCCAGCGCGCTGCAGGTACTGTCCAGCTGGGAAAGGCTCCAAAAAGGCGCGCCCACGGTGGTGTAATTGCACGAGTCGGGGCAGTCGTCGACGAATATCCTTTAGTTTGCCTTCTACAACCTTGAAAACGCACCTGTCTTGAGGTGCTTCTTGGCTACTAGATATCGATCCAACCTCATGCTGTTCTCCAGTGTCCTCTATATCAGAGGCGTTGTCTGGAGTACGATCGGATATGGCTGACTCAACTAAATCCAGGATATTATTGACCCTTTTCCATTGCATTAATCAAACATACTGGTACTTCCAGTTTCAACAAAGCGCGTCCGCTTCTGCCCTCCAGTACTCTTCTTCACTACGGTTTCGCTTGCCAACCTTTCCATAAACTTCTCCTCTGGGATTAACCCAACAGGATCACTAGAAAACTGCAGTAATGCTCTCAGAACTTGACTGGATCATACCACATTCAATCTTAGCATTCCTCAATGGTTAATCGGTCACTATATGTACAACAAGGGCTCAAATACCTACGATTGTGCTTCACTGTGAAAGACCACAACATCGAAGTACTCCGGAGGATACATAGCCTCAGTGTTAGGTGCGTTTGAACGATAAGAACCATGTGGTGGCGAATTTGACGACGAGATATGCACTAAAGTTTTATTTCACTATGCAAATGAAACGCTATAAACAACAATTCGCTGAGAAAAACTGCTCACCTTTGTCTGACAAAACCTTCACAGCATTCTGTCTTGGATGCGAAGAGGATGACGGCTCAGTCAATGCCTTTGATGCATCTACAGCAATGTTCGATGAAAAAGACTTGGGCAGTCGGTTGCGCAATTCGTTCAGTTCCACACGAAGTTCATTAGCAGACACCTTGTTTACAGCATTTGAATGCAAGATTGATGCCTGCAACAGATTCATCATTGTGTCTTCAAATCGCATTCCTAACTCACCAAAGTATTGACTTCAGCTATTGATCCGATAAAGTACGGGCGACGTAATAACTCTGTTGTTCGATGAGATTCGCACAGAACAGGAGGGAAGAGCGAATCGAGAGAGCCAAGAGAGCGAGCAAGGAGTGTGCCAATAAGTTCACAGATAGGACTCTGAGAAATATAGACGATCAGTCAACATCTGTTCTGGATGTATCCAAAGAAAAGGGTGACTCACATCCTTGAATTGAGACATAAAAATTTGGAAATGTGGCTGAGGGGTTTCATGACGACTTAGCGCAAGAGTCTAAATAGTATTTTTGCTCTTTTTTCACAGCGCGATGGATAAATCTCACTGCATAACGTGATTTAGATGCAGTAGCAACTGACTTTGCTGCTTACCCTCAAAATTTTGAATCCCATGGAGGCACAGCGAAAAAGTAGATATTCTGTAAGACAAATTACCTGGATTATCTGACCGATCTGCATTAGATTGAAACGAGCGATGTGACTAATTGGTGTATCACTTATTATTCCGATGTTTTCGGGATTGGTGATAGCAGGACACAGTAAGTTAGTTACGATAAGGTCTGTACATATGAGAGCAGCCTGCAAAACACTTGTTTGCCACGAACTCCTTGTAAGAATGACATAAAAAACCCGCACGGTTTTTTCATGATTAGATAATATTTGTAACCTCATCAACCGGCAGCCTTTTAACTTCAGTCAATGCCGTGTTCAACTGCTGCACTAACCAGATCAGACCGCTAGGAAAACAAGATATGGCATCACAGATCCCTGCAGATTGCAACGTTTCAGATAAATCCTCAAGAACAGAACAACCAGTCCGCATACCCTTGATGAAGCTATGAGCTAACAGGACCAGTTTCTCAACGATAAGCTTGCGATGAGCAGCTACCCTCTTGTGGTACTGCGTGCTTGTTGGATCATCGCCAAACCTGCGAACCCGATCAGCACTAGGAAATCTCAGTGGGGACTGTAAACGATGAGCGTATGACACATGACATAACGATTGAAACTAATCCAGCAGTTTTTAGCACTCACAATCTTATGTATTCAAGTTCTTGGATGATTCACATAAAAAATTCTGACCTTGGCGGGATCGATATCAAGAAAAACTTCGTCCTGGCAAAGTACCAACATCACAGAGTCATGAAGAGCAGCAGTGAGGAAGATCTATACAATATGTTCACTTGCATAAACTAATTCATCTACAGAAAGCGAAAAAGAAATCCATAGGATACTCACCTTGGTTGCATACAAAGACTCGCTATACAGTTTGTATAAACGAGGAAATGCTGCAGTACCTTTGCGAATAACAAGGCGTGGGTTAGAATGTGAAAGGATCTGTACTCGCATCAAACACACTAAGGTCTGAGAAATATTTTTTCATGCGTAACAGACAAGCAAGGAAGATGAAGGTGTACAGACCTCTAAAACAGCTTTCTCATCAGGCGGAAAGAGGCAGTTGCCATAAAGAAGCCCAAAAACTGCTTGTATACTCTCATCGCACGGAACTTCCTGCTCGTTTATTGTGAACTTCGATTGGAAATATTGTGATTCCTACTAACCTGACTTTGCTCCGTTGCATTGAGAAGTTCTGCTGTACATAACGGGGATGAAAACAGAAGAGATAGGAAACGTCGGAATGATGAGTGATGATGCCCCAACTTCCTGGAAATATCTTCCAAAACTCCAGTGCTGTGACACGGCTACCAGAACAAAAGTTGTGTAAGTTGCGGTAAATGCTTCAAGCATTGCTTCATAGAGTCTTTATCTTTGTTACTTAACATCTGTTTCAGAAGCATTTCTGTGACATACTTACGAGTAGTTCATTGCCGGCAAAGTAGCCACACTTTGCGTATGAGTACTTCTTTTGGGAGTTTTCTATCTAACACGAGTTATTGGCAACCAACAACCAATGCTAATTAGTGTAGCGCGTTGGCATACTCCGCGGACACACGCTGGTGAGAGATCCGTAGATTCCGACGGTGAGAGGGGCGTGGCCCAAGACTCTCTAGGGATCGATTAAGATCCAGTGAAATGGGTGTGGCCATATATACCCAGGGGACAGACGCCGATGAGAGATCGGAAACATTTAGAGGGGTGGAGCCCTAACTTAGGTGGTCCACGCCTACAATCTGAACCTAGAATATTTAGTCTCATCTGTTGCACTCACCAAGTTTGGAGGTGCGCTCTTCTAACTTCTCCTTTGCTATTACTACTTCCATTGTGTCCAATCTTTTTCAATAAAGATTACATAATCAGTAGAGTATCTTGAACATATATAAATTGTTGTAGTTTCCACAGGTATCGCAGATTGCGATTAACACGTTGACGACCGAGCCATTTTTGACCACATCAAAATGGGCTGATGATCTACGGCTGCGGTTTGGACAGTTTGATAGCTACCGCAATGCCGTGTGTTCTATACGACAACCACGCCGCCAGTGTTATCACTGCATAGAAGTTGCTTGAGAACTTTTCGTTTACACATGATAAATTGATGCACAAATGTGTTAAAAGGTGGTCTGGGCGTGCATAGGCACGGATGCACACGGTCTTCAACGTGTTAAAACATAAGAAACCGACTACAGTCCTTGTCCAGCTCGAACCCCGAAACTACAGCGTGGAAATAATATTCTTTTGGTTATTTTTCGGCTTCGAATTCTAATCAGTTCGGAGTGATAAGCTACGCATGTTCTAATTGGCATTTTCAACTAACACTCATTACTTGCCGTTAATGACAGTGCCACTATTGCATGTGATAATTACGACTGAGAATACTTGAGCGTTATACATACTGAATTCGAGATATTCAAATTGAAAAAGTACCTGTAGGCTTCTTCCACTACAGCCAAGTCGAGCTGTGACGACAATGCGCAAGTGTTATCTTGTGAAACGCTGCTATGTGAGCTCACAAGACGCTGGAGAAGGAGCTGAAAAGGGGAAGGTTGCTGGCATTCAACTTGCTATGACCACCAAGACACGATTCTGATGCTTATGACAGTGAACATTTCCCCGCAACCTGACAATGGTCCCTGTGCTCTTGCCACTCACCTTTTCCTGGTTCTCATAGGTGCGATAAGGTGAGAATAACTCCTCCAGGGTGGATGGTGTTTCAAGTACTAATTTGGAAAATCTGAAACGTCGACGGGGAGGGGGGGGGGCTGCGTGTAATTGTGGATGGTTTGCACTTGGGAGCGAATTATTTTGAGCCTCACAACGCGCGGCGACGAATGGCATCCCTACTCGCAGCTCTTCAGCAAAACTAACATGTTTCGACTCGTTGCGCGCAGAGACAGGACACCGTTGCAGGCGCTATCATATCTTTGATCAAGCGTCGTCTCATCCCTCTTATTGTCTGCTCTCTCTCCATACCGAAGTATCCTAGTCGAGCAAGAACGCCCAGTTCTCTGTGTGAGAAGAATCAGCAAAATTCGTTTTCTATGATTAGAACGATATCTGCAGCGTATCTGCCTGCTTTGAGATCATTTGAAAATTACTGCTACTCACAACACATGTGTAGTCTGGCACATGCGTCATCTACCTGATAAAACCGCCACAGGTGTTAAAACCTTCCTTGCCTGTTCTACGATCAAGAACTCGTCGAGGGATTGTGCTGCCATTTCTCCACTTATGTCCAAGGACGGCTTTATTATTCTTGAACGCTAAACTAGTCTTCAACTAACGAGGGAAAGTTCCCAAGTCAGCTCGGCCAACCCGGATGAATCATATATCATAGTAACGGGCTTGAAACGCTGATTCCAAATCTGCTTTTCTTTTCTGCGGAACAACTCTCCGAGAGAAGTTATGAGCATTTGAAAGTCTAAATTTGTCATGTTTTAGGTGGCTTAAAAATGGCGAAACCTGTACAGTAACATACGAAAATGACTTATGGGTTTTGTATCAAGTATATTGATTACAAAGACGGAACACGAATAGCGAAATTCCGTTAGGTGTTGTTTTACAGCTTTCAAATGATTTTAAGCTACTTTAAACATGACAAATTTGGACATTCAAACGATCATAACTTCTTTCGGAAAGTGGTTCCGCAGAAAAGGAAAGCAGATTTGGAATCAACGTTTCAAGCCCGTTACGGTGATATACGAATCATCCGGGTTGGCAGAGCTGATTTGGGAACTCTCCCTTGTAAGATGTTCGCAGTTTTAGTGCTTGGAGCAGTACAAGAACTGTTCAACTCCTGCGCACTTGCCCAAAAAATTTTCCGGAATGCGTGGCTAACGCCACGCATCTTCACTCAGAAAAAACTGCCCACCCCCCCCCCCCGGTCCGAAATGCTGGGACCGCCACTGGTAGTCACATATAAATACCACTCTTAGTAAATGTGCTGATGATTAAAAAGGAAATGGTACGATGGCGGCAAGATTGGAGTCCTCTCGCTTCTATCTTTTGACTTTGACGTTCATGACTTGGCTGTTAAAAAAAATTTGTAACTTTTGTTTATGAGCATCTTGTACGCCGGAAAGGTCACCACCGGAACCGTCTCATCCTCCGCTTTCAGAAAATATACAGTTTGCCTAGGATCCGCTAAAAAAAGTGCATGGTGAAGGCTGGGGAATCTTATAATGGGAGTTCTCAGGTAGAATTTTGCAATGGTAAAATAGCTTCCACGTGAGAACTCCCATCAAAAAGTCTCACCCACCCTTCACCAGTCATTTTTTTCGGCGGATACCAAACAGACCATATATTTTCTGAAAGCAGAGGACGACATGGTTCCGATGGTGTTCATTTCGGCCTACAAGATGTTCACATACAGAAGTTATGAATTTTTCTGTCCTAAAAATTCGTAGATAATCAGAAATCACTAGCAACATCCTTCACCAGGCATTTTTTTAAAGAACCATAGACACACTATATATTTCCTGAAAGCGAATAACAAGGCAGTTCCGATGGTGTAACAGCTATTCACTTACAAAAATTATCAATTTTTTTCTTGAAAACTCATGGGGATTCGGAAATCACTTACTACACCCTTCACCAGGCACCTTTATGACAGGACCCTAAAAAAACTAGATATTTTCTGAAAGCGGAGAAATACATTGCTCTAAAGACACCTTCCTTGCTGACGTTGGTGTTCATCTACAGAAGTTTTAATGTTTAATCTCCTGAAAATTCGTGAGCTATAAATCTTCTTTCTCCTTCCCGATACAATAATTTCGTCCAAATATATTCCATGCTATTTCTAAAAACAGAACACAATGTAGATCTAATCTCACTTTGACTCATTATACTTGGTTTATTTTTCAGTTCTTGAAAATACTGATACTCACTTCTAACTGTATTTGGTTACCTATACAGCTTTTAGATTTTCGTAATTAAAAAACGAGGCGCTTCTTCTCATTTTGTCTTTCGTTTCAATGTAACGAATCTAACATGAATAGACTTATCAAGTATACAGTGGTCTTCAGCACAAGTCAAAATTTTCGTGGCAATTGGGCAATTTTCTATCGTCGTTCTCTCCATCCGCAGCCAAGCCATGAACGTCAAAGTCGATAGATAAAAGCGAGAGGACTCCAATTCTGCTGCCATCGTATCATTTTCTTTTTATACACAAGCACATTTACTAAGAGTGGTATTTATATGTGACTACTTTCGTCAAATCGGAGATCTCTGAGCAAACAATGCTTCGACTCTTTCTTCGTGCTTTCATCATTGCACTTCCTGATACTTGCTATCGGCGCACTTCTCAGAACCTGTTTCGGCTACATTATATTCTCTTCATGTGAAAACTTCCCATACTCTCACGAGAGACGGTATTCGTCGTATTACTCCTAATATTTCCATTGAAACATAAAGCTTGAAACAAAACTTTGAGACAAGAATATAAACTAATTCAGTTTGATTTGTGTACATATTGGTATGAAGCAAGTGCACAGGAGCTGAAAAGTTCTCGTACTGTTCCAAACACTAAGCCTGCAAAAATCTTGATTGAAAACTCGTTTAGAGTTCAAAAGATGTTCTTGAAACCGTCCCTGGATATAGAATTTTCCATTTACATTGAAGGGGTTAAAGTTGGAGGAAATGACAGCACAATTCCTTAACGCAGTTCTTTATCGCAGAGCTGACAAGAAGACTGACAGCTATGGCGGTTTTATCATGCACAACTTTACCTCGCGTTTGATTTTTCCCGCTTTTGGTGAAGGGGGTCAAATTGGGTGTCGGCTCAGGGGTGAAAGGGGGGTGAGCAAATTCTCACACTATCGCACCTATGCTACTTCTACAAACATGAGCTGAATTCAAAGGAGACTGTGCCGTCCCAAAAGAATAAAGCTTAATGAGGAATAAAGTGAAATTTGGAAGATCATGCGCATTTACAAAACCTTAAAGGCAAAAACTTTGAATATTCGTAGAACCTTGCAAAAAAAAGATCATGAGACTCTAACAGATTATGGATCCACAACCAATGCCCCAAAAATGGTGTACTATATCATCAGAGGCAACAGAAACGTTCCGAAAGCCACAGCTTCATCAATCTGGATTCCAAAGTCTGATGATGTCAACTATAGCTGGAACCAAATATTCGAATGATTGGATATTCGAGGAAGTCAATTCATTCGATTATCGGAATAGTCGAACGACACTACAATTATTCGGAAATTCGTTCATTCAGACTTGGAAACTTAGCATTATTTGAATATTCAGATTTGAATAATCTGAAAATCGCAGATCGAGAAATATTCGTTCATTCAAATATTTTTCAGAAGACGATTATTCGACATTCGTTTGTTCGACAAACTGCGGTCGTCACAACTACTTTGTCAAGCACAAAAACCGACATTGGTGAAAAAATCGTCATATTTGCAGGTGCTTGCCACCAAAAGGCTTCTGACTTTCGCTTTGATAAGTATAGTGCAACTGCACTCGGGCACTAAACTCAGGGCCTACCGCAGTCGCCCATTTGAGGAAATATTCCAACCGCCCGGACGTTGCTTCTTACCACAGCAAATTTTGACAAGCTGAGACCGTGTGTATGTACCCTTTTGATTCACGAGATTCGCGGCCGGAAGGCGACCTCTCGCGCCCGCGATGCAGTCTGCGTATCTCTCGCGAAATTGCTCTCTGACCATTCTCTAGCCTTGATTAGGTCACGAAGCCCCGCCTTCCAGCTGCCAATCCACTTGAATCAAAGGGTATGCATGCCCAGACTCCAGTCTAGCGTTTTCCTACATGCTACGTGTGCACGCCATCTTAAGGAGTAGGCTCCTCATCAGTAATGATACCAGTGGCCTGATAATTAAGACACAAAGCATCTCGGAAGGTGTTCAAGAGTTTAGACTGCTAATGTACAGTGCATGTTAATGGAGAGCTCACAAGTCCGCAGCTCTTGCGCGTATGTACGCATCGCAAGGCTGATGCGCTCCGTTCGCCTGCGTACGACTTGGGCCCTTGCCAACCCTCGATCGATGACGCATTTGGGAGTTGGCAAAATGCCCTGCCGTTCGCTCGCGCACGTGGCGCACGGGATTCGCGGCGCGTGCATGCAAATCGAGCACTGCACAAAAGGGAATAGGTTTTTGACATCGCCTGTAGGCATTTGATGCAGTTCTGGTTGGTAAATGCATTAATCAACCTTTGATTCAACTGGCTTGGCTTCGGGAAGGCGGGGCTTTGTGACCTAATTAAGGCCGCTAGCGCCCGCGACGCGCCGGCGTCTCACTCGCGTGAGTGCTCTCTGATCATTACCTAGCCTTAATTAAGTCACGAAGCCCCGCCTTCCCGAAGTCAAGTCAGTTGAATCCAATGGTATGTTATACTAGAAAGGCAAAAATTTACGCAGTGTTCTGAAAGCAAGGGTTCCGGTGAAAGGTGATAACGTACTCTCAAAGAGAAGTTCAACAGATATGCCCATTGCATGGTCTATTGGAGGGGAAGATGATGCAGGAACCTTCATATGTGTAATTTTTGAAATGACTCTGTGAGATACTTGTGATTCTGGAGAAATTTTGTATGTTCCATAATGAAGCGTCAGATATACGCCCACATAATGATTTCTTGCATTTGCCCGTATGCATGCGCGAAAGGAGCGAGAACGTTAGTGAAAGTTTAGGCCAAAATGGAAACAGTCCTCAACGTGCTGGGAACGACTCATAGCGGAGGTGACTTTCCGACGGTCTACACCGGCATGCGCGGTTCATGATTGTATGCTGCTCAACAAATTTCATTTATCTAAATTAGAATTCATAGCCACTTTAGCCATAAGTTGCTGCCCTAATAATGTTATAGCAGCTTTTTAAACTAAGTTACTAGTGCTCCTGAACATTCTCAATACAGCCTCTATGCTTGTGAAAAAGGTTGGTTAAAGCGTTTCTGCATACATGAGAATATCAAACCCGGGATTGCATGCAGCTTCCTCTTAAAAGCCTCTCCCTCCACCCACACCTCGCTCTTGAGAAGAAAAGAACGAGGTGTGGGTGGAGGGAGAGGCTTGTAAGAGGAAGCTGCAAGCAATCCCGCATGCAGCTTCCTCTTAGGCACCTGCCATACTTGATCCTCTTGATTTGCTTGATCCACTTGATCCGCTTCGTGCAAAACGCGCGCACACAGCAGTTGGTCATTTGACGCCGCGTAGGTAAAAACGAATTTTGTAATATCTGCTCCAAGACGAAGGCGGTCGCCCAAATAGTTTGAAAGCTTGCAAGGCCGCGGCGCGCGGGCAAATGTCAACCACAGGGCGCGCGCACGCTCGGTCAGCGGTCATCCACGCGAGCGTGCGCGCGACCCGTGGTTGACAATTGCCCGCGCGCCACGTGCGCGTCAGCCTTGCATGCTTTCAACCTATTTGGGCGACCGCCTTCGTCATGGAGGAGATATTATGTTTACGGCAACGCTGTACGCGACGACAAATGACAAATTAGTGACGCGCGTTATGCATAAAGCGGATCAAGCGGATCAAGAGGATCAAGTATGGCGGGTGCCTTACCCTGCATGTAGCGCATATCGAGCCCTACACCATACACTGCCTCAGATATAGGCGACAACTCGCTGAGGATGGAGGAGGCTGCTACTGTAGACACGTACCTAGATCTACAGTAAGTTTCAACCCGCCGCCTCGCAATAGTTCGCGCCGTTTCGCAGCTACAGCATATCTCATCGCGCTGAGAACCCAAGCATGCGTCCCATCATTCTCCTTAGTCCTTGCTTGGCAAAGTGCCAGCGATATGCGCTCGCGAAGCCTCCAGCGATGCGCACGCGTTGCTCCACGCAGGATGTTTCGCCTAATCCGGGATGAAACCGACTGTGCACAAGGCTGTGCAAAGCGCGCCCCATGCCCAATGCGAATTTCTCTGGCGCGCAGGATCTTCGCTGTTGGGGCACGCTAGACATCGTGAACTTGACTCTATGTTTAGGCTCCGGGTCAGGAGTCACACCCCACGCGGCGGCCTCTCGCCGCGCCCAAATTTTGAGCCTTACAAAAACTCTCCGGTGCTAAAGTGGCACGTGCCACAGTAGGGGAGGGGGGGTGGAGGAGGCGACAGATACATGACTCGATGCCATAAGTAACATTGCGGCAGGAGTACTGACGGGAGCTGAGGCCTGTACTGCTTGACGTCGCGTTGCGGTGTCGGCTTCGCGAAAAATCGTGAATCGTGACCCGTACCCCTATGCTTTAGATAAACATAATGTAAATGCTGTAATTAGTTTCAGGTTGTCTTCCACATATTCATGTCTCAGATCTAAGGTGAGGTAAAATACGTGCTCATCTGGTGCAGATGTTGGCTCTTCACGAAAACAGAAGAGTAATCATCTCTTTTTGACTAACCAAAACTTTTGTATTCTAATGATGTTTGGACTTGCATTGCAATACTTCAAAAGCCCCATTGATCTGAGGATCAAGTCTGATTCGAGACGATTTTAGACATCCAATTGTGGAAATGTACGCACTGCTCTGTTAAGTGTTGAAGTCAAGTGTCAAGTCTTGTGAAAAAACCTACCTATGCATTCTATCAGACAGTAGCTCCACTACAAATTCATCTCTACACCTTGCAAAGCACACACCAGTGTTAAACAGCGATTCCTTGAAAGTCGGATGTGCTTCTATGACTTCCTATCACAAATAAAGTTTGTTCTATGTTTCGGTGAAAGAACGTGAGAGACAAACTGACTCACACAACAACGGTCCCTTCAAGCAGTCTTTAGTTGAAGGCACTAAGGGGTTTTTCATGAAAAAAGTCCTGCTCCTCTCTTTTGTTCTAAGTCAAATTTTACGCGAAACCATCGCCAAGAACTTGTGCGCTTGATACAGGGTTTGTTTTACTTATCTGAGATGCACATTCGCACTTCAATACAGTTTCCGGTATGACCGCAGTCAGAGACAAAAGACATTTGTGTTGCGGTCTATCAGTCTATCGGATGCAATAACAGGACATTTTGGATTTTTTTTGCCTTCAGATGAACTTGCAGAAGGAAAAGCTCTGCAATCACATTACTACAAGACTATCAAGAAATACTTCCTATAAAAGATACTCCACAACTTGAATTGTGGTGTGCAAAGAATCACAAGTTCAACGTGCTTAGCGTGCTCCGGAAGCGTAAACCGTGCGCGCCGGCGAATTTTGCATTGGGTCATGGGCGCGCTCTGCGCAACCACGACCCAATGCAAAATGACCCAAGCCAAATGTAGATTTAGGTACTTAAGGCTACTGCATGACGAAGGCGCAGAAGCGGTATCACTTAAGCGGACGCGAACGCGACGCACGCGTATCCTCACCATTGCTGATTCCGCGCCTTATGCGCTCTGCGGCTAATGAAGCCGCGTTCGCGCCCGAAGATATTGCGCCTTCGTCGTGCAGCAGCCTATACGTGTCTATTGTAGTTCGTGGATTCCAAAATCTCACACTGCAAATAAAGCTGAATGAATGTCCCAGCGTGGAGAAAAGGTCAAAAGAAGCAAAGCCAGATCAGAAGTCTGGATTATGTCTATTGCGATAAAAATAAGGAAAAAAGGGAAAAGAAAGCTCCAAGTAAACGGAAGAAGTCAGACGAATAGAGAATGTATTGGGTTGTTCGGAAATTAATGCAGGTTTTGAATTCCAACCGCAATGAGTCATGCATTTTTCATTTTTAAGTAGGTTGCAAAACACCATTCGATAGAACAATGCAAGCTCTACAAGATGGCTATTTTGCTTTAGCTACAGCTCTGATCCACGATAGTTTCGAGCCAAAAACTAAAGAGATTCAACTGCTTAAGAATTTGAGTAAAATCGTAAGTCAGTTTATAAAAATCCTACAAAAATCCTAACTTGCTCACGTAAACACAATCCACATAGGGCCTCTACATTCGCCATTGCTGCATTTTTTTCTCTGTTAGAAATCGAGAAAACGGAAATTTTCGTGCGTTTGCCAAAGTGATGCTGTGCTATTCCAACATAAGTAGTTGTATACTACACGTGTAGAAGTATAAACGTGAATTTCCAGCTTCTCAATTCTTCGGGCAGTTGAATCTTTTTAGTTTTTGGCTCGAAATTCGTGGTGGATCAGAGCTGTTGCTAAAGCAGGATTGCCATCTTGTAGAGCTTGCTTTGCTCTATCGAATGGTATTTTGAAGCCTATTCAAGAATGAAAAGTGTATGACTTATTGCGGTTGGAATTCAAAACCTGCATTAATTTCCGGACAACGTAATGAACGAAACCAACCTGATGCTGCTTGTTATTCCATGAAAGTAACCCCAGGTGTAGGAACTTGTTATTTATTTCATTATGGAGATCTTGAAGAGCACTGATCTGCAAACAAAAACTCGGACTTCACTCAGATAAAGGGGCAATCCATTCAGTGATTCAGTAATTGGATAAAAGAAATGACGAACCTCACTATTTACTAGGAGTTTTTCCACTCGTAAACGTTCACATAAAAACCATACGTTGTCACCAGCTCGAACGACATCCATCACATCAGGAAAAGCTGATCTCACTGGCTGCATAAACCTTGAAGACGATTGGCTATCATACATGGCATATAAAGATTATCCAGAGTATGATCTCGCAGATAGATGAAAAGGATGATTAGAACGTTTAAGAGCAGTTGGCGGTCTTGCAGGACGTAGCATGTATAGAAACGACGGCACTGTTGAACATGAGATTTTATCGATTATAGTTGAATGATGGGCCGTTACTGTTTGTCCAGCTATGCAAATCAGTAAAAACATTGAAACATCTCCGCTCAACTAACAAAACCCACACACGGCTTTCCAGCATTCTCTTCCGATGACACATTCATAGGCAATCATCGTCGAGGGGGTGGCCTAAGTGGTCACTGATCTACTTCACTGCCGTTTGACGCTCCTTGATGGGCAGTACACTCCGCAAAGCCGGCCGTATGTAAACGATAAACACGGTACAGCTCTGACGAGCGATGATTCTTACACTGTTCTTTGAAATGAAAACACAAGACAAGCAATAAAAACCCAACTGCCATTCATTGTGCTTCATTACTGTGCTATGAAAACTCGGAAACAAAGCAAGCGCTACAGCATTATGGGAACAAACAATATGAGCATTCAGGCAGAGAATGTTCTTCTGAAACTAGGTTAAAATGGCTAACGACGTCATGCTATCGTGACAGAGATGTGCAGCATGTTTGAGTGGGTTCAAATCGCTGATCACTGGCACCTCTCCCTGGGAGTAAAGCAACCCATAGAGCAGAAGCATAAATAAAGCATGCGGTCGAGGCATTAGAACGAAGAAGTGAGAGGAAAGCCTACAACCTGAGGATAACATGAGACAATAACATGGTACACTGTTCATGCCAGCATGCACTACAAAAAACGAACCGGTCTTTGCGAGGTCCACAAAGTCCCTTACTGGACATAAAATAAGCCATTCATTGAGTGATGTCATCAAATCAACCTATTCTGATTGACTCAACAAGTGTGTTGGCTTGTCCGTAGAACTTCCGGGAGGCGACAAATGATAGAACAGGCGCAACTAGCGTCCACGCCCTGTCCGAGACTATCGTCTCTGGAATGTCCGAATATTTGAATTGGGGCGTCGTTGCACACGTTGAGTACTGTTCTCATTTCTCTGTCTTCCTCGTTTCTTGATAGAGCTCTTTTCTTTTTTTTGGACCTCCTCTGTTTCGTGCACAGTCGAGTAGATTTTCCGCTTAATATAGTGTGCTTGCACTGAAGGTGTAATGCGCTAAAATTTGCGCGTAAAGAAATAGCTACGCCTGTGGCGCTGGCCATTTGCGCGTGGCATTACTGGAGAAGAACTTAAATGCTGCGAAATGGCCGTTATCATTGGAGCGCGTTTTCGACCTGGGACTTGAATTTCGCCTAGATTCCGCTTACGACGAGCTGCAGTAGGAAAAGGGCCCTTTGTGAAGTGTTACTGCATACATATGGTAGTCCCCGTCCAGAGATGAGGAATTCTCCAACATGCTGTTTACGACTGTGAATCATATGCGTTGAAATAGTGATCTTGCTCAGTTAACGTGAAGCATGCTTTAGATCCAACGCGACTTCGAAAGGTGATGTCAAGGATAATCAAGGTTAGGAAAGAAGTCTGACAAGGAAAGGAAGGTTGGTCGAAGTGGCCTTCTGAAATGGGATGTATACTGCCTTGTAGAGCTTGGAACGCTGATTCCAAATCTACCTTTGCTATCTGCTGCGGGCTTTTGGGCAACAAGTTATGGAGGTTTTGTGAGTAAAAATCTGAATGCAAGAGTAGGCTAAAATTATTCGTAACATTTTTTATAGGGCCCAATTGGTAGGGCTCACTCGGTGCAACAAATATTCTTGATTCAAGTATACCAATTCGCTGCTGCCTCATTTGAACATTGGGAAAAGGTTACGATTGATTTCACCCTATTTTTGCATTCAGATTTTAACCCACAAAAACCTTCATAACTCGTCGCCCAGAAGCCCGCAGCAGATAGCAAAGGTAGATTTGGAATCAGCGTTCCAAGCTCTACAAGGCAGTATACACCTCATTTCGAAAGGCCAGTTCGACCAACCTTCCTTTCCTTGTGAGAGTGCAAATTCAACTTGATATTTGTGAACAGTTTGTCGTATAAGACCCTACCCTTTGCGAAACCGAAATCTGAGATTATAAATTTCTGTGTTTTATAAAGTGGAAGAGTGTCGCTCATTCCTTCGAAGTCATTCGTGTAGACACTTCCTTGTCTAGTGATGGGTTTGTTCACCACATTTTCCTGTCTGCCTCTAATTGCTGAATGGATCACCGAACATGCGTTTACATTGGTTTCTCTATCATTCAAATCCAACAACGAACGGAACGGTCAGAAACAGACAGAACACGTCCTAGAATATGATTAAATGGCATGAAGTAAAGCACCTGATCTACAACAACTGACAACGTAGCAAGTCATGTCCACAAACATAATGAGTACGTTTAACCTAGAAAAAGAACGACTCAGAGCCTAATAAATCATGGCAGTGTGGTACGTTGAAAAGATGATGACACAATCCTCATCAATATCCTCTACAATAAACGCTGGAGGAAGTTTTGCAGCTCGATTTCGAGTGCTTCTCTGAAATAACAGATTGGCCGCCCTTCGTTGAGATGATGTTCTAAGAGATGGGGTATCTCACCTTTTTCAAATGCTCGATACTGGCCCGCAAATTTCCCTTTTGCAATTGCTTGGTGGTATTTCTCGGTCGGCCTGGATGGCGAAAATCTCTTCTTCTAGGTAGTCCTTGGAAATTATCTAAACGAGAATCTGTAATCGCATCATTTGCAGAAGCGGAAAAATGGAAAAACGGAAAAACCAACATGACCCAGTGCATTCACGTAGTAGCTCTTTGGCCTTCAACAACATTTGACCAAGTTTGGTCTTCGCCCCTTCGGTATCTTGATTTTCTATCAAGTACCTAAACACAACACTCAGCAAGTTGATCGTCTGAAGAAAGCACCACTTATGCCGTCCAGCTGAAATTTGAGTTCTTTACATCGTGTCGCGATATCCACTTGCATCTCCGCGTTGATAGCAACCGGAACGGTATCGAGCGTTTGCTCGTCTCCAGGTACCAGAACAGTAGGTGACTGCGGCACTGCGGCAATATGCTGGCTTCACTCGTGGATGGGAAACTAGAAAGAAAAAGCGCTGAATGAATGATACTCTAATAACCTTTTAAGGTAGAAAAACACAAAGTTTTGAAGATGAAGGGAATGCAAACACAAACTGGGCGCTGTTCTCAATATCATGGTCTCAAAAATTCCAAAGAGTGTATTTCGCCCAAACTCGGTCCAGTGGCCGTATTCATCAACGAAACCCAATGGGTTATCCTACCCAGTGGGTAGCCTCAACCCAAAACCGGTATTCACGAAGCTGCTGGGTAAGCGAACTCAGTGGGTTAAGTCAACCGCTGGGTCGGCTAACCCACAAAATGCCGCCATACCGGTATTCACGAACAGCTTCGATGGGTTAGCCTACCCAATACCGGTATTCAAGAAACTCCTTACCCAGAAATCGTGGGTTCCGATACCCACTTTTCGTGGGTAACTTCCTACCCAAGCACACATCGAGAATCGCAATGGGTAACAAAGGATTGTGGCCTTTTCTTCAAAAGCTGTAGAAGTTTCAGAAAGAACCAATGGCTACTGGCCGTAGTATGTCATACTAGAAATGCTAATGTTCCTACTTGGATACTAAAACCTTTTTTCATGAAACCGTCAAAAAAAGGTTTCATAGCAGAAACCAATTTACTAATTCAATGAAAAAAAAATCGAAACATGGGGCTAAACAAAAGTTCTGTCGTTTTGATTTCGAAAAATTCATAGCTGCTCCCTATGTAAATGTAATTGCTCATGAGGAAGTAAAGAGAAAATTTTAGTTATCTCCTAGAACATCTTCGAAGCACCTGGCGACAAGAAACTATACATAGAAATTCGAATAAGAGAACCACCCTAACTCCTGATTTTTGAAAATCATTTGTTAAAAATCTCAAACGCTGCAAGAGAATTCAAGGCAGTTCTTGAGTTCACGTAAGCTGCTCTCTATAAAAGTGCTACTTTATGCTGGTTGATCTATGAAAAATCATATTTCAAGGAAAATGCAAAAAAATGTAAAAAAAAATTTTTTGTCGATTTTTGCGTTTTCCTCGAAAAACAACTTTGTACAGAAAAGCTCAATCAGCACAAATTCGGGTCTATTAGAAAGTACAACTTACACTGGCTTCAACAAACATGTCTTCAGATTTTTCTGCCCGTATTTGTGACAATTCATTTTCGAAAATCAAAAGTTGGGATGGTTTTCTTATTCAGATTTTAATCGGCAGAGTCCCTTTCTATCAGGAGTTGCGAAGATGTTTGTAGAAAGTAGATGAATTTTTCTTCCTGGAGAAGTTTTTTGTAAGCAATTATGTTCACATAGGGAGCAGTTACGAATTTTCAAAATAAAAGGGACTGAACTTTCGGTTCAAGCTACCCTAATTTCACGCGTACAGGCGCACCTTTTTCGATTTTTCAAATAAGCCGCTCAACCGCTTCAATGTGTCGAAAAGCGAACCTTGAACCGTTCAATTCTAATACGAAGCCCGGTATAGGGTTCTTTGCTCGCGAAGTGTTGTGGCGTGTTTGGGCTGGCGGATTTTAGAAAAAATCCCCCGCGCCTTGTACGCGTGAAATTAGGGTAATTAACGTCACCATTCTCCGAAAAATTCAAGACCTTTTCAAAGTGAAAATTGACATTTTTGCAAACAAAAAACTCTTTGCTATGGAGTTCATCAATGCTAGCTCATCTTAGAGATTTTCTAATACTACTGCAACTACGTAGAAACATCGTATACGAAACTGTATGTCAATCACTGGTAAATTTAGTGCTCTAGTCATGCAAAAAATGTTCTGTTTCTCTCGCACTCAAATAGATTAGGCTACTTTAAGTGTTCAAAATGCTTTTTCCCCTCCTTCATCCGAAAGCTTGAGCCCCTTTGAAACACTTGCAGAATCACGACTGCAATAAAAATGTGTAATTCTGTAAGGCTTTAGGCACCTTATCCCATGTATGTTATTACAAGTTTCCCACATCTTCGAAGTCTGAACTCGAAGAACCAATCCCCTTCCACTTTTACGAATCTGAATTTTGCATGGTACCAGATCATGTCAATTTTAGAAAAACGGAAGCCTTCAAACAATGATTCAGTCCCGCGGTCGAATCAAACTATTAGCTTGCATGTTAAAAGACTCAAACCTACGCGAGAATTTTGATGAGAATTCCGAGGGCCACTGCTGAGTTCGATAACGCAGCGGAGGCGTTTGTGAATAAGTAGTAGAGATATTGCACACAAATAGTTGTGAAGAACTACAAAAACGATGCAAGGGCACAGCAAATATGCCAGTACGTGCTTTAAATAGACGTCAATGAGCACCCTGCTGACGTCAGCGCTGCTGGGTAAGCTAACCCAGCGGCAGAGGCGTTCGTGAATACCGATCATGGGTAAGCTTACCCACTGGGTAAGCAAACCCATGGGTAAGTTTACCCATTGGGGAGCGGAACCCACTGGGTAACGTTGATGAGTACGGCCACAGGGGGTCATCGACCTGCTGACCACGTATATCGCACTCTTTTTGCGCAGCATCATCAGCTTCGGGGTTCCGATGGGGACGTTAAAGGCTCAAAACTACGATTTGGCTAATTCTTGTCTGGGAAGGTTGTTCGACATTATCATGGATACCTACGTTTTCTGCTCAACCACATCATCCTGGGTGGTGACCGTAACTTTACCGTATGCAATGAAGTCAGAAACTTGGACAAAACACTCAACAACAACGACAAAGTTTTGAACAAAAATTCAGGAATATCGAGGTTTATTTAGAGTTTCGGCAGTGATAAGCCGAAATTTGGTTTCGAGTACATTCAACTTGCTTTTTTCCTACAACGTTGTTTTGCAAAGGCTAGGATGAAACAAGTCTAGCATGTGAGAATGGTGGTCAGGAGATGTAAAATCGAAAGTGAGCCGAGAACACAAACTCCTGATTGAGCCTCTCATCGTACACCATCGCAAACACCCAATGACGTTTCCAAAGCATAATGTTTCCACCAGCATAGTCAGACACTCCCGATAGAATGAGCAACAGCGCCGAGAAATGGTCATGTCTTGCCACTTTTTCGACAAAAAGGCAAATTAACATACCATTAGTCTTTGATGCTCTCGTCCAGCTTGTTTTTTTTCCACGTTTAGTCGATGACAGAGGAACCGCTTCCACCGGACATTTTTCCACAAGAATTGCACTCTGGAAAGTGAACAATATGAAACAATTACAGAATGACAAATAACGAGCAAAACCGAGACAGTAGAGAACATCTAAAAGGGGAAAGCTCCACGATTCATGCAAGGAAAAGAACACATGTTATGAAACTGGAGCACAAGGCTGCATGTTACGAAACTGGAGCACAAGGCTAAGTTCTGAGATGAAAACGCGCTCCAGTGATAACGGCCATTTCGCAGCATTTAAGTTCTTCTGCATTACCGGCGTCGCTACTTGTTCACGCGCAAATTTTACGCATTTCACCTTCAGTGCAAGCACACTATATTAACCGGAAAATCTATTCGAGTGCATCGTCCCCTCCACAGTTGCTGCTACCCTTGGTTTGCGTCTCAGACCTGCCACGTGTGGTTAACATGTTAGCAACGTCGCAACAACATGTTTGCAACGTGCCACAACATGTTGGCAGGACATTTTGGCCACGCCAACATGATGCTGCATGTTGCCAAGTGTTGCTGCCAACGTTGTCAACGTGTTAGTCACACGTGGCACGTCCGCGACGCCAGAAGGATAGCAGCAAATGTGGAAGGGGACGATATGTTTCATATTATTGCTCACTGACTCGTACCTATAGTTACAAATGGCTGCGAAGAGCGGCCCCATGAACAGTACAGATTGCGCTTCCCCGTGGGACTCTTGTCGATAAGACACCGCAAGCTAGTACAACTCATCTACGAATACAGTCACAGTGCGATATCTAATCTATATCTATTGAGCTACATATTCCACCACTTGATGTTTTTTGAACGATGGTAGGTTTATCTTCTTGATGAAGTGAGTTAATGCTGAGCATGTCGTTGATGAGGCAGAGGTTCAATGATGATAGTAGTAAGCACGTCGACAACAAATCGTCAGCTTTCTTTTTTTATACATAGACGTTTCCGTACATCTCCAATTCTTGATGCTGGACGCTTGAAAAGTTGCAAAAGATGATTCTTTGGTGTTTACTTTTGCTGTTTTTGGTCACTGAAACCTCTCTTCTGAATCATGCTTACAGTGAATGGATAAGTTTAGCGTATACTTCATAATAGATTTGAATGATATCTGCATGCGGCGTGTTTAGTTGATTTCAAACTACCACACAAGAGATGGACTTCTTGTTTACAAACTAAAGCTCTGACTGCCTCTTTCACATAATTGCAGGTCATAGAAGCCAAGGCCCTTGCACTTCAGATGCCGCTCATGAAGACCCTTGAATTATCGTACTGAAGAAGTAGTTTTTCTGAATTTGCCCCTAAAGGAGGCAGTCTTCTTGACTACGCCACGTAAAACACTGTGGTAATCAGAATGAAGAACAAAGGGGCAAAAAAGCCACGTATGCCTCTTATAGGCAAGAACAAACCTATGCTTTTGAAGACTTGTCCCAGAGTTGAGCAAAAGGCCAGGCACAAGTCGTTCAGAAACGACCCCCACTTAATCCTCTCCACCTCCGAACCTGAGTGTGACACTCTGGAGAAGACGAGTCTGTCCTGCAGAGTTTTTGATTTTTAGGGGGCCGTATGATCGCTTTTCTGTGATTGCACATCACAAGTACACGCAATTTGACGGCGGATTTTGATGTGAATCGCCCTGTTAAACGAGTCAGAATTTCCCTAGGGGTGGAGTGTTTTGCTCCAAATTTTCACTGGGCAAGAAGAGGCTATGAGCTCAATACTTATACCAGCAATGGACTGACTTCTGAATTTTGAAGACAAGTTAATTGGGTCAGGCTCAAGGCTACAAAAGCTCAGGCGGCCTGACCTTTTGGGGGGTTGCGCCCGACCCCATTAACTTTATCTCCGAAGACGCTTTTTCATCCAAGTTTTATGTAATTCGCTAGCACAAACCTCGAACATACTACAGTGGGTGTTTGAGCTTAGCTCGACTTGTTTCGGCTTTGTGGTAATCCGCGGAGTTGACGCGCTGAAGGTGCAAAACGCGATGTTTGGAATACTCGCAGTACTTCCTAATCCACTATTTGAAAGCGATACGAAATTTGATTTTTAGTATAGACTGATAAGGAACACTATTTTGTGATAAGTATAGAAAAGCTGACTTCTTTCACTTTTGAAACCAAGTTAATCATATTTGAATTTCAGGCTTTTTAGACGATAGAAAACGCTAGAAAATGTAATAGGTAATGGTCTGAAGAGCTAGTAGAGGTGATTTGATATGCTAATTACAGAAACTGTACTCACAAGGGAATGGTCAGAAATCGAAGTCGCCAATTCAAGCAAGCTGCATGCCATTCGATGCAACCTAGAGTGCTAATTTCAAATCTATCTTCCATATCTGCAGAGCGCCTTTGTAGGCGAAGTTATAAGCCGTTAAAAGTCATTATTTTGCTAAGAAATTGTGCGTGTAAAGGGCAAACTTGGCCGTACAAAGCCATTCTCGGCTCAGTGTTGGACCAACACATGCAACTAGGTTACTTCATATGGCTCGTACCTAGAGGTGAGCTAAGAGAGCAATGATGTGCGTAAATTCGCAGTTTTTGTGTACGATTTTTTCGTAGTAAAGCTACTCATAACTTCGCCTACAAAGGCGCTCTGCAGATATGGAAGATAGATTTGAAATCAGCATCTTATGCTGCATCGAATGGTATGCAGCTTGTATGGATTGGCCACTTCGACTTCTGACCATTCCCTTGTCAGTTACACAGCAAGCTTCTTAGGTGACCTTAGTAGTGTCAGGTAAGGGATGGAGAATCGAAATTTGGCTGAAACTTCTATAGAGTCAATCATTATGCTGATCATGACAGTCATTTTTTTAATTCCATTTTAGTTGTGACTAGCGGCCCAATGGCTGTCAGGTGTGAGGAGTGTATTTGGGTGTCACCATGACCTCGGATAACAATTTTTCAACGCCGTAAAAGCTGATAAACTTCGTGTAATATTTAAATTGGAAAGTTCTGTTGGAGACGCATGGTGCGCATATAGCTTAAATGACAAAAGTACGATTATTTGCAGAAAAACGCTTAGGTTAACACGTTTCGGACCGCGAAATCGCGCGCGGCGAAAAAAAATGTGGCTTTAGCCGTTAGCCAACAAAGGGACCTTATTTCGAAGACTGTGGGCTACATTCGTAATCAGCATGTCAGATATGTTCCATACCCAAACTTCTGAGTGAATTCGAAGTGTTTGAATTTTGTCGTTTGAGAGTGTCGAGACGCAGACTAATTAGATGGTCCGACAGTCTCCACGCCAACTGGGCGGTGCCCGGAATCTCCATATGAGCTGGCACTCCCCGGGTGCTCGGTGGTCCCCTCCCCAATTATGTTCCCCCATATTATATATGTTATAATGGTAAAAGAATCTAGTCAAGAACTGTTATGTTAGTACAAAGGAAAGAAACTAAGGGTAGAGGGATCAAGTCAAGAGAATAGCTAACTCTTCAGACTCGACATGGAGGTCCCGGGTTTTTCTGAACTTTTTGTCGCATAACTTTTTCTTACCAAAAAAAATCTAAGCATAGATTAGGCCAATCTCTGCGAATACTCCCACCACCGGCACCAGCCCTCTTCTCCTACGTGAATTACGTAGCCCTTTTTCATATTTACCCTTTCTTTTCTCGTTTCCCTTGAGTCCAGGCGATGGGTCTGAGTGTGTTTTTTCTTATTTTGTCATATTTTTTTGTGTCATAGTGGGTAATGAACATAATCATGTATTCTTTACCTACTGTGTGTTTGACAGTTTTTTTTGTTTCATCTTATATATAAAGCTGAATGTCTGTTTGTATGTATGTCTGTATGTCTGTCTGTCTGTCTGTCTGTCTGTCTGTCTGTCTGTATGTGTGTACGTATGTTCCGAATAGAAAATTCCATTTCTGAACCGATCCGGACCAAACTTGGCACACATACGCTACGGGCCCCGGCGGGTGTCATAGGCTACTTTTCGTCATCGATCGATATCGATTTTATCGATTTTTATCGATTTTTTGCTGAGTTCACCTACGGGGCTGGGAGTTGGCACAGGGGGGTAATCGAGCATGGGGATTCCGAATACAATATTGGTTTTCAGGATTATCGATTACTTTTATCGATTTTATCGATTTTTTTGCAAAGTTTGAGCTAGGGGGCTGGGAGTTGGCACAGGGGGGTAATCGAGCATGGGGATTCCGAATACAATATTGGTTTTCGGGATTATCGATTACTTTTATCGATTTTATCGATTTTTTTGCAAAGTTTGAGCTAGGGGGCTGGGAGTTGGCACAGGGGGGTAATCGAGCATGCTGATCATCCCCAAGGGGGTGATCAGCATGCTCGATTACACCCCTGTGCCAAATTCCATCCCCCTAGCTCAAATTTTGCAAAATCGATAAAATCGATAGAAGTAATGGATAATTCCAAAAACTAATATTGTATTCGTAATCTGCATGCTCGATTACCCCCCTGTGCAAACTCCCAGCCCCGCAGGTCAAACTTTACAAAAAAATCGATAAAATCGATAAAAGTAATGGACGATCCTGAAAACTAATATTGTGTTCGTAATCAGCATGCTCGATTACCCCCCTTGCAAAATCCCAGCCTCGCATGTCAAAATTTACAAAAAATCGATAAAATCAATAAAAGTAACCGATAATTCTGAAAACTAATATTGTATTCGGAATCCCCATGCTCACTTCCCCCCTGTGCCAACTCCTAGCCCTGTAGGTGAACTCTGCGAAAAAATCGATAAAAAATCGGTAAAATCGACATCGATCGATAACGAAAAGTGGACTGTGACACGCGCCGGGGCCCGAAGTGTATGTGTGCCAAGTTTGGTCCGGATACGGCGGAGCCGGGTAAGCCAGCTAGTAGCAGATAATAATGAATATATTACTATATTGAATATGGTATGTGATATTTTTTCTCTGCTGTGATTCCTTACAGTTTTTACCGTGATACCACGTGAAGAACCGTAAATATTTACTCTTTCTTCATCTAGCCCCCTTTCCCAACCCTATCTATTTAGATTCAAACTTTAAAATTTTTCATTTTTTAAACGTATTTTACTCTGTAACTTCTACATTTTCTCTTTCATAGTCTATTGTCTTTCCAAAAAATGTAAAATTCATTTTCACAACCATTTTTCACCATATTTCGTCTACAACTTTACACACTGTTTTTCAATCATTTATTTTCCTTCTTTCTCACTTTCCATCAGCATTTTTTACACAAACTCAGGGGGAGACGGTCAAGAGGCGCGATTTTTTCCTGCTGTCATCAACTCAGAACTCCAGTTTGGTGCTGGAGTCTTTAAAAAGTACCAGATAAAATGCATTGGCTTACTACCTGTCTGTGGTTACCAGCTGCTGAGTTTGATGACTTTTGCTGAAAAATGGACCGAAATATTTACGAATTTGTTCTAAACTGCATTTTCATGAGTTTTTGACCTTCAAAATTGCTGTTTTCAATTGATTCCAAGTTAGCAAGATTGAGCAACTCATGCAACTACCTGATTTATCTCCTTCTAAAGTTTAAATACTTCTAGAATGTTATAAAACACTTATTATATGCTATTTGGTGTCCATCTGGCAATAAAAATCGCGCCTCTTGTCATACACCCAAACTCAGGGGCTCTATCGCTAACGCCGGCACTGTACATATGTACAAAGTTTTTATAATCGTGGTGAATTGCCATAGCTGTTCTAATTGCCGCCAGTTCCACAGGCGATCTAGACGCCTGTGGATAGTCCGTAGCATAGGTGCGATAGTGTGAGAATTTTCTCACCCCCTCTTCACCCCTAAGGCCTAAGGCATACCTCGCGCGATTCCGGTCGCTACGCGATTCGGCACGACAGCGACTCTTCGTTACTCGTCGTTAATGCGCTGTCTCTGGTCAGAACTTGCTCAGTTTGCAACAACTTACACAAGGTACCCAAATATGCGTCCGAGAAGCGCGCACGATAAATTTGTAGAAATCTGGCAAAACGCCAAGTCGCGTGAAGGTGGCGATTCGGCTGAATCGCGTGAGGTATGCCTTAGGCCTAATCCGGAACCAAGGCGACCCCCTTCACCAAAAGCCGAGAAGAAAATCAAAAATGAGGTAAGGTTAAGCAAAGGAGATATTTGTACGTGAATTGTTTATGTACAGGAATGGAGGAGTCTGTTGAAAAAGTGCTTGGTGACGGGTGTGAGTTTCTGGACATTTCTGGACATTTTGGAGTTTTCAACATAAAAAAATTCATAACTTTTGCAGATGAACAGCTTTTATGGCGAGATGGTCACCGTTGGAGCCGCCTCGTCCTCCGCTTTCAGAACATATATACTTTGCCTGAGTCCGTTAAAAAAAGTGCCTGGTGAAGAGTGTGGGTAGTGATTTTTGTATTTACGAGTTTTTGGGATAGAAAAATCCGTAACTTTTGAAGATGAATATCTTGTACGCCTTGATGGTTATCTTTGGAACCGTCTCATCCTCCGCTTTCAGGAAATATATACTTTGCTTGGGGTCCGTTAGAAAAAGTGCCGGGTGAAGGGTGGGTGAAACTTTTATAATGGGAGTGCTCAAGTACAGGCTTTTTTACCATTGTAAAAAGACGTCTCTACTTGAGCACCCCAAATATGAAAGTCTCACCCACCCTTCACCCGGCACTTTTTCTAACGGACCCCAGGCAAAGTATATATTTTCTGAAAGCGGAGGATGAGGCGGTTCCAATGATAACCATCAAGGCGTACAAGATGTTTATCTGCAAAAGTTATGAATTTTTTTATGTTAAAAACTCGATAATATTTAGAAATCACTACCCACATTTTTCATCACACCAGGCCTTTTTCAACAGACTCCAGGCAAACTTTACATTCTCTAGAAGCGGAAGACAAGACAGAAATTAAGAATTTCTTCTTTTAAAAATATTCGTAAATGTTTAAAATTGTCTAACTCTTTCCGAAACAGATGTTCTCGCATGCACATCTTCTATGGTAATTTCAAAAACAGACAGGGTGATGTAAAAAAGGAAAAGGAAATGTTAGCAAAATACAAGGTGCTGGTCAGAAATATAATTGTATGCTAATCCAGCAGCATATCGGTTCACATTTCAGAAAAAAGATAACCAGTGATGACAAGGAATTGAAAATTATAAACTTTGACTAGGAAAAATGATGAGAAAACACCTTGGCTCCCCCCCCCGTCGATATTTTATAATTTCTCTACCAAGTAAAACACCCTTCACCCTGGAGGGGCTGCGACCACTGTGACCCCCTTCACCCTGGAGGAGTCATTCTCACCTTATCGCACCTGTGGTCCGTAGGCTATGTTGCCTGTAGTGATTCCATAGGCTATGTGATAGCCCATGGGCAGTGGCGTACCCAGGATTTCGGCTCGAGGGGGGGGGGCGACAAAAATTTTTCTGATGAAGGTGCGTGACGATAGCCACGCACCGAGAAAAATTTTTTGGTATGCTTCTGAAAATTCTCGCGGGCGCCCCCGAAAGAAAATCTTTTATAAGGCTAAATTGAATTTTTAAAAAATTTTAAAAATTATTTTAATTATTTACAAGTGTAGACAAGTCATTTGCACAATTTTATAACCCATGTAATAACATTCAAAAATTTCGCGACTCGTTTTCGGGGGGGGGGGGCCGCCCCCCCCCCTCGGTACGCCACTGCCCATGGGGTTACCAGAGGCCCTTTTCCCAGTCACGCCGATTCGGAGCGTCATTATCTAAACTTGAGTGGCATATAAGCGCCAGAATTTGACCTTACCGTAGCGGCTTACTGTTTCAAGTACTCCGTTACGCGCCTAAGTTAGCTCCGCCCACTCCTACGTAAGGAGCTCATAAAGTTGGGAGTTATTCAATCCTCAAGAGGGAACGAAGAACAGTCAGTGGTATTCACTATCAGTCGATATCCAACGATCTAACTCGCTATTCACTAACCATCCGATAGCCCACTTCTTTGACAGGTACAATTTCCTTGCTTTGAGCACTCATTCTGTTATTATTCCAGTTTTTTTTTCACAGTTACTTTCATTATTCCGTTCTTATTGACTGATTAAAAAAAACAAAAACAAAAAAAATCTTTTTCTTTCTCTTCCGTATTTTATGAGCGTATCCCCTACTGCGTCAGATAAATTGACACCTGCATCAAGCGAACAGCCCATCTCCACGCGCAGATATCGCACCCGATCTGTAAGCGAATTTTTGGTAAAGAGCGAGCAAATTTCCAATCCTAACTCCATAAACGACGCTACTACAATGGACTCGCAACTGCTTAAGAACTTAGACGTTATTTTTGACAAACTATCCCTTTCTTCATATTCAAACAGACTACCCACATTCTCTGGGGACTGTGGCGCTAAGGGGTTAGTGCAATTCATTGATGACTTCAATGAGATAAGTAGTATCATGGATATCTCAGAGGACAAGATGGTTAAGTTATTAACAGCGCACTTAAAGGGAACCGCAAAAGCAGTTTTCGACAGCTTCGAGACTGCTGACAAGAAAAATTGGCAAAATGCTGTTAAAAAACTAAAGGAGCATTTCTGCAATGACCATTATTTGGATATGGCGTGCGAAAAGGTCATGCAGATTGCAGCGCATCCGAACGAATCGCCCTTTATTTTTGCAAGTGGGATTAAGCGCGAAATCACAGAGGCATATCCTCGCAGAGAGTTCGCAAAAAAGCGTTTATTTTTGCAGCACATGATATTCACTAACGGATTATCATCTAAAATTAAGCAAAAACTTAAGCTTTTGGGCCCGCTAAACAAGGATTTCGATAAGTTAGTAAAGGGTGCCAAGCGCATATGGGATCTGACGCAGGGTGAAGAAGTTTCGCTTAACTCTTCACTGCTCAACGCGAAAATGGATTAGGGTTCTGACCCAGCTAGAGAGCCAAGCGGAGGTCAACACAGTTTATAGTCAGCAGCGCTCATACTCCCCCATCCTCAGACGGCCAAATCGCTACAATTCTCCTAATGACTCGCACAATTACAACTATTCCAACCGCTCCCGCTCCCCTGCGCGTTTTCAAAACTACAATAACAGCCGCAACCGTCCTCGGCAGGTTTCTTTTGCTTCCGATCGCGATAACCAATCATGGCAAAGCAACCAAAGGTATCCATCCAGGTCTCCCTCGAGGAATAGGAATATGCCTCCGATAAGAAATTTTAACAATCAAAACCGTTTTCGTAACAACTCAAATTCATCAAACAATAGGCAAAACTCCAACACAAACTTTCGAAATCGTAATCGCTCACCACACCACAGCCAAAACGAAAATCGTAATTCTTCTCGCGGACGTAATCCTCATGGGGTTAATTCGATAGCAACAAACTTCTTAACTGGTATAAGTAGCTCCATACCCTCCTCATTTCTAGTCGCCATCATTTCGTTTATACTTCCCGCTGCCTCTGCCATATCTGCTGACTCTCAGCTATGCTCTTCTGGTAAATCGGGATGGCCTATAGCCTATCCCGAAACAGTTTCTTGTGCAACTTCGTCAAAATCACCGAGCGTACTACTCACAAGAGCTTCTGTTTTTGTAGAAAAAACAGAGCCAGCGACTCTTTCCGCGTATCAATGCTTTAACAAAACTAGAAAAATTTGCAGTTCTTCTTATCTGCATACTAGCTTGCTTACCCGGCTCCGCCCGGCCCTGTCAAAACACTATGTCAAAGAACACTATCCTATGCACGAACCTTTCCCTGTGCCCACGCCTACATGCCAAATCACTATTTTCGCTGTTTTAGTAATCAGCATGCTCGATTATCCCCCTGTGCTAACTCCCAGCCCCGTTACTCAAACTTTGCAAAAAAATCGATAAAATCGATAAAAGTAATCAATAATCCTGAAAACTAATATTGTATTCGGAATCCCCATGCTCGATTACCCTCCTGTGCCAACTCCCAGCCCCGTAGGTGAACTCTGCAAAAAATCGATAAAAATCGACAAAATCGATATGGATCGATGACGAAAAGTAGCCTATGACACCCGCCGGAGCCCGAAGTGTATGTGTGCCAAGTTTGGTCCGGATCGGTTCAGAAATGGAATTTTTCTATTCGGAACATACGTACACACATACATACAGACAGACAGACATACAAACAGACATTCAGCTGTATGTTAGGTTGTCCCGAAAGTTTCGTCGCTTTATTTCATCGCTCACGAAAACTCACAGAACACTAGTCCATGGACGGCATAGGTACCATTTAATTCAGATTTTTATCCTCTTTTTTACAGTTATACTTGCTCTCTGATCTACCCAGTCTTTGCAGAGTTATCGCCATGGCTTTTTGAGCAGCTCAGCAGTAACGCCAAATCTTTCCTATATTTTAGAATTTCTCGTTCTAAAGTTTCCAAAGAGCGCTGGTAACTATTATGTAGAGCAAACCTTTGGCTACATTGTACTAATCTTAGATTACATGGGCTACGTTTACCAAGTCCGTTGTAACGGCTTTTTAATCAACTTTAAGACGTAAAAATACCAGAAACCCCAAAATGCTGCTTTTTCAAAGCGAATCAAACTTGTTACGTTGCATAAACAATGTTTAGTAAGAATCATGTTTCAATTCGCAGAAACTTCAAAAGTTTTCGTGTATTTGACGTAGTTGCGTGTTTCATGACTTTGCCAAAAATCGAGACCTCTGGAAAAATAATTTTTTGAAGCCAAACAGCAGATTTGGAAAGGCTAAAAATATTACTTTGTAGTCCGAGAATTGCTCTATTTGTCATACCCTTAAGCCTTTTCAAAACTTTGGAATGAAATTTTCAAAAATTAGCCTAACTTTGAGCAGGTAAAAATGATGGGTGGAGAATTTTGGCAATTATCAAGAAAAGCTTTCAAGACTGCTGCTCAAAAATGTAACCGTAAGAAAGAGGAGAAAAAGCGGCATCGAATGCATGTTGAAACTACTCAGGTCTTTATTGTGCATAGTTTTACAGTTGTTTCAAAAAACCGACAAAACTTTCGGGACAACCTAATATATAAGACTAGCGACCCTACGGGTCACTAGCAAGCGGGTTGGGGCAAACCATGGATAATTGCTCTTTTGTTCCTATAACTTTTCCAAATGGATTTCCAATTTATCAGCATATATTAGGTTGGAAACTAACAATAAGTTTTGCAACTGGTCTCATAACTTCCCTCTCACTCAACATGGCGCACTCAAATTTTGCCACTGCGTATCATGTAAGCTACAAGCGCAGCTGCTGTCCTACCAAATTCTGACGTCGCAGTGAGGGTTACGGTAGGTGCATGGTATGAAGGGAAAAATTCAAAGTTTGACGGATCTGGCTGAAACTTGGCATAAGGGTGTTATCCGACATGCTGATCACGAAAGCGATAGTGAAATTGTGTGATAAAGGCTTTTTGTAGGATTAATATAGGTGTACGATATGGGGTCTCACCCTAAACAAGGAAAAAGGCGTTGAATCAACAAATGAATTTGATATTCGCGTTTGGCAGGTCAAATAACCTTACTATGTAAAGTCTCGGTGGAATTTGAGCTACGGACTCTTTAGTCATTGACAGCCGTTTCCAGCAGCTCTTGCGTACATGGACTCGTTCGACCTTATGAGGACGCCAAATCTCGACATGCCCCTAAATTTAGTTTCTTTCTTACTAGGCCAAAGGTGTCAACCTCCAGCAACAATTTATAGACGAATCCGGATTACTGCGCATGATCTAGGCTGCCAAAGGCTTCATTTTAGCTTGAAACCCCAAAAATTCTCAAATATCACTAGTTTTCGAGAAACGCCTGAAACTTTTCTATTTCGTGTTAAAAATTTAGACAATTTGTGCTCGCTTGTAGCTCACATTGCCTTCTATATAATGCCAAAGTTTGAGTGCGCCATATCCAAAGAGAGTGAAGTTATTGAACCAGTTGCAAAACTTAGTTTCCAGCCTAATATATTGCCGCAACCCTCAAAACAAGATCTTCGGAGATTTCCTCACAATTTCACCGTAAAAAGAATAACATCGTTTTAAAATAGTGTTCTACTCTGACAAGGGAGGAATACTTAGTCGAAGTGGCTTTTCCACTTTTAATGTAATATTGTAGAACATAGAACGCTGATTTTGAATCTGCTTTCGATTACATCTGACGGGGAGGACCCAAACTAATCGGCTTTCGAAATAGAATATATGCCAGTTTGTAGAGCATGAAAAGCTGATTCCAAAACTGTCTTTGTTTTTTGCCAAGCGCCTCAAAACGCTGAGTTCTGAGTGTTTTTTGGAACGAAAAGGATCAGCAAAATCTAAATAAAATCAATGGCTATGTTCTTTCTAGCGGTCAAACGAAGGAGATAGAAGGTTTTCCAGGCATAAGGTGCCTCTGATACCCAACGCTGGATCATTTGCGTAATGTTGGATGAATTTGCACCAATTGCACGTTCAGTTTTTTGGAACAAAAACGCCCATAATTCAGCGTTTAGAGGCGCTTGGCAGATAACAAAGACCGTTTGGTATCAGCGTTTGATGCTCTACAAACTGGTGTATAATTCATGTGGGAAGCCGATTTCGACTTTAAGTCCTCCCGTGAGCGGGAAGTTGTGGGAGTTTTTGAAGCAAAAATTTGAACGCGTGGCTAAAATAAAATAAAATTTTTTGGAAGCGTAACCTTAGGTCCCGGGCAGACTTCACGCGATTTGATCGTCGCGACTGGATCGCGACGAGACAACTGATACGAGTTCATTGCATGCCGGCCAGCTTGCATTTCGGTTGTGGTACTTTTCCAGCCCGAAATTTTTGAATGTGAAATGAAAATGAATGAAAATCTTGGCGATTAGATCGCGACGATTAAGTCGCGTGAAGTCTGTCCGGGGCCTTAAGCCTCAAATGGGGCCATATTACTGCCAAGGCGCTTTAAAGGCAGTGTCCAAGGTGAGGGTTTTGGGACTGTGCCATGCGAAAGTGCCCCCCCCCCCCCCTAAGATACAACATCGCACAAGTGCGAGGTAACAACGTTCGACCTAAAGCAACAAAAACGATC